TTTTTAAACTGAATTTGTTTCTTAAGATAATTTTTGAAAAATTATATATTTGCGCTAGTTATGACATATGTAGACTATATATAACGCTTGCATCAAATTAAGAAGTAGTCTACCACGTAAAGCAGTTGCCTCACGATGCAGAGGTCCCGAGGTCCCTAGTTCGAATCACACCAAAGTATAAGTGTGTTTTTCAAATACGAGAAAATATTTATAACCATAGACTGCATCTTAAGAAACAAATTTAGTTAAAAAATAGTAATAAAATTTCGAAATAAATAATTTTTTTTATGTCGGGTGAATATTAAATGTATACAGAATATGCGATATCCCATTTTTAATGTTCCTAAAATAATCTATAAATGTTCTATAAATATATTTTGCATATATAAAAAAATTATGGATTATGGGGAAAAATTTATAAAACATTTGTAGATTATTCGAGAATATTTACAGAAATTTCTAAGGACATTCAAAGCGGGACATTACACATTCTTTGCACATTTATAGATCATTCATAGAAAATTCATGAATATTCTAAAAAATATTTATAGAACATTCATGGAATATTTCATGCTGTATGGGACCAATCTAAAAACGAAAACTATAACTGTAATAATTAAAAGATAAAATGGTATATATACATATAAAAACGTAAGCAAACAAACTATACAAACAAATCAAAAAAAAAATATTATGTGAAAAAGAAGCATGAGAAAGCGAGAAAGACAAAAACAAGAGGAAAAGATATAAGATAATGATATAAATGTTACATAAAAACAGAGAAAAAATATAGATAATATTGGAAAAATCATATATGTAGATCGGAACAACTAGACGTGAAAATATCGTATATTCATGAACACACAAAATATATGCCAGGATCGAATAAGAGAAAATAAACAGAAGAAGAAAAACTTATAGAGAAGAAGAAATTTGCAAATATAAATCAGAAATAGGACAAAGTGGATTAATAGCTTTCAGATAAAGCAGTTCAAAATAGAAGCAAAAATAATAAGCATAATGGCACCTATTGATTGACAAAGAGATAAAAAATATAACTAATAAACAAAATAATAAAATTATATATTTTACGAAATTTCCAATCATATTACTTACCTCTTATATTTTTGAAATATTTCGTAACCATTCCAAAAGACCTCATCACCCAAAACATGTTTCAACATACGAAATATAATGGATGCTACAATAAGACAAGTCATAAAAATGTTACATAATATTGTATAAAAAATATATGTAAAATATATTTCTTTAACTCTCGAAAGCTACACTGGGATCTCAGGAACCGCAACAAAGTTTTGGAAATACGTTTGGAAATATTATTTGTTTTTAAATGCGTATTTTTTTTGTAATAATTTTTTTTACAAATCTTGAAATTACCATCATAATTCTCAGAAAATTTACGGTCAATTAAAAAAAAAATTACAATGTGTTGATTTTTTTAAAACTTATTTGCGAAAAATGGTTGTGATCTTCCTGACCTCAAAGCCTGTGAGAACGAAAAAAATTTGTGCGGAAAAGTTGAATTATTATATAGCGGCAAATAAATTCACAAAAAATGTTAATTTCTTTTAAAAAATAAATTTAAAGTCCGAAATATTCCAATATGTTTCTCTTTATATTTATAGCACAATTAATTCATTAAGATATAAAGACAAGTTTGTCTACAATATAGATATAAAACAAGTAAACAACAGACTCTACTCAATTTCTGCAGTGTCAATTTGACATAACATTTCATTAATAAATTCTGTTATATTTTTGTAGGCAAATATTTTATCAATAAAATATGTAAGACACCTTCAAAATATAGTCGACAAACTTTAATGTCCAGATACTCTTCTCGTTCTTCTATGTAAATTATTTTCAAAAATTTATAGACAATAGTATAATATAAATATATACAGTTGCAAAATTTTACCTTTTCTGCGACAGTATGAGAAAAAAATTGAATTAGTTTCAGTACTGTTGTCTTCTGACACAAGAGGATTTATGATGAGTGATTCCAAAGAAGCCAAACGGAGAAATGCCTGTTGAGTTTCGACTACAAACATATCCCATATTCGGAATTATTATGTATATTTTTATGCCTTACTTGGAACCGTAACTACAAGATAAATTGATGGATGGATATTCAATCAAAGAAGATACTAGAATTGTAAATTCTAAATGGAAAATAAAATCTATATTTTTACATTGTTTTTTTAATGACCTTATGAGCATTTATTTTCTACAATATTATCGCAAAATAATGGCATTATGATGACTTTATCAAGACCCTTTTCTTAAAAAAAATTAATTTCTCAATATTTTATTTACTAGATAACGTAACTGAAAATTTACAACAAGAAAATCATTTACAAATAGCTTTTACTGCCTTCTATGTATATTATTCAAATGCGAATAACATGTGGGAAAGAAATTCTTTATATGTTATAACATTTTAGAAATGTCTAATAATGAACTCTAATCTAAAAGCATACAAAAACGTTTGTAACTTTTCAGACTATTGTTTTGTGAAAGAGTGTTGTAGATAAAAGTTCTTCGTTTTCCAATTCACCTTTCGGGAAGGGATATAAATAGAGATTAATCTTAGATTTAAAGGCTCTCGAAATTTGTGAAATTTCAAACTAAAATGATGAAAATTGATTGCGTAGATCTCGCGTATAGTTACGGTTCCAGGTAAGGCATAAAACTATACATAATGACATCATGATGACTTTATTCATCACTTAAAAGTTATATTAACGCCACTTCAATATCTGCATTTTAATATTATGGTAACCTCTTGTTCTGCGTGGCGTGTTAAGCCCTACGTGGGTTACCGTTAAGCAATACGAATAAGAACGATTATGTAAGAAAAACGCATGGTGAAAAATAATTAAGCCTTGTTGACGGCATTTGTTGCATATAGCTCAAAAATTCCCCTTTGCAAACACATCAACGTTGGAGACAAAAAAACAGTTAAGCACAGTCAAATGGGTATTTGGGTAGGAAATAATACTACCAGCGTTGTAACTAGCGTGGAAGTGTCTTTTGGGGTTGTAATGAAGATACTAAAAGCTCACCCTCGTACCATTGTCGTAGCAAAAATCGGGGTGCAAAAAAGGTCCAAAAATTGGTTTTTTGCCAATAACTGAAAAAGTATCACAATTAGGGAAAAAAAGTGAAGACGTGAAAGTTGTAGAGAATGAAATTTCACACAAAAAAGATATATGCAAAAATGTTGTACGACCAATTGCAGTCGATCTAGATTTTTTTGAAATAATAGGTATTTCATGACAAATGAAAAACACGTAAGCGCGTCGCGCATTTTTTATCGATAGTTCGAAAATGGCGACTCGAATAAAAAAAATAGTTCAAATAAAAGTTGTAGACAATTTAATTACAAACAATTTCCATTTTTATTTTTTTCGATACAATCAATATTGACAGAGATATGAATTTTGTAAAACATTTATTATCGCTCCTCGATTATGATTTTTAGTGGTAAAATCACTTGTAATTCAACATCTGTAAGTTTAACGCAAATATTACATCTTATGAAAGTAAAAGATAATTAAATTTTGAAAATTTTATTGTATATACAAACTCATTTTGGATATATGCGTAGTGTGATAATGCTAATAAACATGAAAAATTGTCATTTTTTGTGGATTTTGTCAAAAAAAGTCACTTTTGGTTAGCTGTAGGTCAAAATATCTGTTTACATTTTTTTAAGAGAAATAAATTATCTTTAAAATAGCTTTTTGTTTATCTTCCTACGATCATTTGTTAACAAATTACAGCTGTTTAAAAATTTCAGGAAAAATACAATTTTATACAAAATTAATAATATATTGAAAAAATATATGCGTAATAATTTTTTAAAAATTGGATTTTACCTATTTTTAATAGTTTATATGTGTGTGAAAGTAATGCAGCACTATAAGTTCATCGAAAGATATGATTTCTTTAAAAAAAGAACCCTCGAAAAGTGGTGTTTTTTAAAGAAATTATGCAAAAGTGGCATTTGTATTTAGTTTTTTGCATGTATCTTTTTTGTTATTGATTTTACGAAGAAATGTCATCAGATCAAAATTAAAGCTGATAAAATTTCCTACAAAATTGATACTTTGATATTTGATTTGTAATAAGTAGTATTATGAAACGGACAATTAAAAATGCTTGTAATTTTGAATTTGCAGAAAAGTAAAATTTTGGAGCATTTATAAAGTTAAAAATAATGTACTTAACAAATTTTTAAAATTTTTTCAAGTATTGGAATAAAAATGGAAAACGATAGACAATGCGTTATTTGCAATGAAGGGGACACAGCTGGATCGTTATCCAAAGTGCGACAAAAAGGATTGAACGGGTTAATTGAATCAAGTCGATTGCGAAAGGATGGAAAACACACGACATTCGCTGCATTACATGTGGCATTCATTCATCCTGACTGTAGGAAAAATTATACACGCAAAAGGAGTATACATTTAGATTTAAAAAGAGAAGAAACTGAAGCTTCTACTTCTAGCCCTTGCCATAAAACGAGAAGAAAAAAGTCGTTTTATTTTGAAAAATGTTGCTTATTTTGTTCTGAAGTTATTGACGAATCATTTTACGCGCATCAATAAACACTCCGAAAAGAAAATAGACGAGTAGTAAGCACGGTGCTAAAAGATACCAGTGCTAAAAAATTCGAAGAAAGAGCTATACAACGTAACAATGAGTTAGGTCGGCAGGTGCTTGATCGTATGTCATTAACATGTATCGACTAAAAAATGTCGATATAACATTTCTAAATGTAAAAAATAACACGATGAATGAGTTATTTTAACACAAAATTTAGAGTGGACTTTCTGGGACATTAAATTTTTTACTGTGTATGTATAAAATAAAAAATTAGTTTAATTAATAATATATAATGTATCCTAAAATTTACACTTATATCAATAAAGAGGAAGGAATACAATCTAACAGATAAAAGATCTACACAGTCATTACTTCGCATAAACATTTTGTTTTATTCTTATCTACAAAGCATTATCGTTAATGCATCACATGTTACAACAATATAATCGACTTAGAAAATATATTTCAACCCTAAGATTCGTAACGGAAGGCAAGATAACAGCAGGCCACGATATTTTCGTAAATCAGCTTCAAATGTGCTCGAGACTTATTATATATTTCAATCTTCTTCTTTCTTTTTATTTTCTTCTTAGATGAAGATTATAAAGAATCTCTCAGCGAAGAGTATTTTGAGAATATATCATATTCAAGAGAAGTGTGAATTAATTATCGAAGAACAACCTCACGTCCAATATTCCGCTTTTAACCAGCGTGCACTACAGGAACTATCTTCTTAAGGCCGTGAAAAATAAATATTAAATAAAAGGATAACTAATTAATTCGAGTACCTATTATATACAAAATTACGTAATTCGCAACATGTTATAAAATAGATATTAAAGCTGGAAAACGAATGTATGTTCCCTTCAAATACATCTGAAATTAACAATAAATTACCTTTAACTGAGAGTATCGATATCCTTTTACTTTTTACATTCAAATTAAATTAATTAAAAAATAAGAATATAATTCAATTAGTAAAAAAAAGTCTAACGTAATTTATAAATTAAACTTATATAGTGTCAATATTTTGTGGCAATAAATTACGTAAAAAAAATAACTTAATAAATATATTTATTATAATCAAACTAGAAAAAATAAGAATAATTACATATCGTTGAAATTTTTGTAGAGGGTGGCCTGATAATCACGATTTGGAGGGAACATAAATTTTTACGATTTTTACGAAAATTTCTCTGTTGTGCCCGTTCTACGCGGGAAGACTCATACTCGGATTTATGATCCAAATCGAAAAATCTGGCATACAAAAATATACTCTGTAAAATTTAACAGATCTCTTTACAGCTATGGGACATACTTGGCAAGCAAACGGAACAAGGCTACGGACGCAACGTTAAAATGTCTCGGCATCGTCGCAGTCGCGCGTGTCGTGTCCGAACATCTCGCAGTTCTCGCAGTACGGCCTCTCCACGGATTGCTTCTTCGGAGTTTTCGGTACCGCTTTTTCGATAGTCCCCGTGAAATCCTGGGCCTGCCGGGGACAGTCTTCCGTTTCGTGCAGATCGAATTGATCGCAAATATCACAGAACATACGGGGCGCCGCTGTTCGCTTGTCCAGCGTGCTTCGAGTGTAGTCCTCGGCCTCGTTCGCGGGGACTCCCATCTCGAGAACCTCGATTTTGCACAACAAGCTCTCGTTCTTGCGTTGCATATCAACTATCACGGAGTTCAAAAAGTCTATCTGGCTCTTGGCGGTGTCGTTCTCCTCTTGTAACTTTGCGACGTCGATATCCTTTGCGACAATGTGCTGTTTCGTGTCGCCCGTGCCGTCGTAAGTGTTTTTCAGGTTTTCGTGCGATAACTTTAACTGATTCGTCGCCTCCGTCCATTTCGCGGTAATCTGCTTGTTCTCTTTCTCCAGTCGACTCAGCTCGTCCAGAAGTCGCGTCTCTTCCACCTTGGCAACGTTCAGCCTCTCCTGCAAGTTCTGCATGTTCTTGTTCACCTCTTTCTCATTGTTCTCCATAGTTCTCGCCAGATCGGCCGATTTCGTTTCCTGTTCTCTCAATTGCTTCTCAAGCGTGTTCACCGTGTGCTGTAGCTCGTGGATTCGCTTGTTCGCGCCGCTCAGCTCATTCTGCTTCAGCTTGATTTCCTCGTTCCGCAACTGCTGCTCTGCCTTGACTCTCTCCACTTGCGCGTCTTCCAGAACCTTCACTTGCGCCTTCAATTTATCGATAATAGCTTCCTTATCATCTAAATCGATTTTGTTCTTATCTACGGCGTCTCGCGACAATCGCAACTTGTCCTCCAATTTTCCATTTTGTTTATTTATGTCGTCAATCTTCTTCTGCTTAGCCGCAATTTCGCACTCTAAGGAATTTCGCAGCTTCAGTATCTCTTCCTCCTTGGAAGTTTCCGATTCTTTTATCTTAACTTCCGTTTCTGTCCGCAACTTCTCTCTTTTGTCCAATTCTTCGTGCAAATTCGATAACTGAGTCTCCAGTGACTTCACTAAGTTCTCCAGAACAGTCTTGGTCTCGAACAATTCATTTATTTTGCTTTGTTTCTGTGCAATCGCTTCTTGTGCGTTCGTCAGTTCATTGCTATTACGAGTATGCTCTTCTTTCATGGAAGAAATTGTAGCATTTAATTCGGCTATTTGAGTCTGTGAATTTTCCACCTCCGCTCTCGTCTTTGATACTTCGTCCGTCTTATCTTTAATCGTCCCTTCGGCGTCCTTCAACTTATTCCTCAACTCTTCCATTGTGCTAGTCATAGTATTTAAAGACGTTGTTAAATTCTTATCGGCAATCGCTTTGTCGCTAACTAAGGCGTCGTGCATTTTCTGTAATTCCGATAACTTATTTTCCACATCCTGAAGTTTCGAATTCTTCTCCTGAATCGAGTTCTCCAATTTCAACGTTTTATCCGACTCGGATTTCAATTTCTCCGTCAATTCCTCGATCGACCAACGATTCGCGCTTTGATCAGCCTCGAGTTTGCTTTTACACTTTTGCAGATTTTTTATTTCATCGTGCGAGGTCGATAATTCGGTCGACAGATCCGTAATTTTTTTCTGTAACGAGGATGTCTCTTCTTGGCAAGAATTCTGCAAGGTTTCACACTCTCCGCGAAGATTAACGATTTCTTTGTCTTTCTGCCTCAGTCGCTCCGTAAGATCGGTGAATTCACCAGATATCTCCTTCAAATTTTTCTTTGCGCGTTCACCTTCTTCTACCTTCGCCGATAATTCACTCTTTTCTTGTTCGTATTCGCGTATCTTATTAATATAATCTGCATTCGACTTTTTAGCCTCGTCTATCTGCGACTCCAAGTTTTTTTTCTCTGAACACAGTTGCTCGACTAACGTCGTGTTCTTGTTTAATTCCGTCTCGGTACTGGACAGCTTTCCCTCCGTTTGCTTCAACGTAGTTTCCGTTTGAAAAATCTTCTCGCGAGCTTCGTCTAATTCCTTCTCCTTTCTCCGCAAATCCTCGTTGTACCTCGACAATTGTTCCGACGAATCAGCGGAAGTGCTGATCGCGCTCGCTATATCAGACTCCTGTAATTAAGTTTAGATCATCAGTCTAATAAATTAATAACTAATTATTCTATACTGACCAGTTTTTCCTTCTGCAATGAGAGTTGCGATACTTTTTCCTCCGCCCTCGCAATTTGTTGATTCAATTTCTGCACATTCGACTCAAATACGCGAAGTTCGCTCTCTAAATTTGTTTTCGTTTGCTCGGATAATGTGAGGGCGTCTTGCAATTCTAAAAAAATTTAAAATAAATCATATTAGATTTACATTAACGAATATGTAATTAATTTTGTAAAATTAAATCTTCACATCAATCTTCGATACAATTTTACCTAAAGTCTTCTCGAGAAGATGTTTAATCTCTTCGTCTTTGCTCGCTATAATCGCCTTCAAATCGGCGACATCTTTCTCCAATTTAATGAGTATCAAGCCTTTTTGCGCTACATCTGCGTTTATCTCATCAATATATTTTGTTTTGTCATTAATTTGGGCCTCAAAACGTTTGGTTATTTCTTCTATTTGAGCCAAAGTAGCATTTCGCAATTCCGCGAGCTCTTTGTCCTTCACTCTCAGTTCCTCGCTTAATTTGTTTAACCGTGCGGTGGATTCTTCCTCCGAAGCGATTAAACTGGCTAAATCTTGTTCCTGGATTGATCGCATAACGTGAAAATAAAATTTCGGATGCTACATTCGTACGAGATAAAAAAAGAAAGATATACTTACCAACTTTTGCTTTTCATGAATAATCCTGATGTTGTCGTCACTCGTGGACCTGTAGTCTTGAATTTGTTTTGACAACACGCTGTTGTTGTCTTCGGCTAGTTTGAGCCTCGTATTTAGTTCTGCAAAATACACACAATAAAATCAATCTGTTCGCTAATATATCTAAAATTATATATATATATATATATATATATATATATATATATATATTTTATATACATATTTTATTATTGCATATTTAGATAAAAACGTCAAAATTATTTGCATAATAAATTAAATGCTATATAAATTATTAAAAATATTCCATCGAAAGCGAATGTCAACTGATACGCGTGCACTCTACACAATCAGCAGTAGATTAAATTTCTCAATTATTCGAATTTTTTATTTTTAATTTTATGAAACAAACCTTCCAATTTTCGTAAAGCGCTAACGAGTTCCTCGTCCTTCTTCTTGCAGAGCTCTCGTTCAGCGGCCAATTCGGCCAACAGTCTCTCGGTCTCCGACACTTTTTGCCCAAGTTTCTGCGAGACCTCCTCGATTTTTGTGTCCTTCACTCGCAATTGCTGCTCGAAAGATTCCGAAAGTTGACGGATACGGTTAACGTTCTCGGCCTTCAAGCCCTCCAGAGTCACATTCTGCTGCTCTAACAGTTTCTTGGACTTAATCTCCAGCTCTTCAGTCTTTTCTTTGATCAACTGATCTTTCTCCTCGATTGTCCGCCGATACTCCGACAGTAGTGAATCTTTTTCGCTTAAGCTCTCTCTCTTCATCGTTTCGATCGTTTCTTTCGATTTTCGCAGCTCCTCGTTTAACGCACTGGTATTCCTCTCGAACTCCTGTTTCATATTCTCCACCAATGTCTCTTTATCTTGCAAGTTTTGTTTGACAGCTCCTAGTTCCTTCTCTAGACAACTCTCGGAATCTCTGTGCGTCGTGCTCTCCTGCTGCGTTTTGCTCAATACAAGCTCCAATTCCCGGATACGTTCCACGCATTCGCCCACCAGACTTGACTTCTCCTGCACTTCTTTCTCCAGACTGCTCTTAATCTCCTCCAAGCTCTGATTACGGCTCTCTAGATCTAAAAGCCCGCCTCAGGATAAAGATGGAGAGCGAAAATCGCGTGGATCTCAAATCTAAAAGATTTAAGATCTGATTGTACATAGTTCAAGTATTGCCACATTGCGGATACCTTGAAGCTGGGAATTTTGCGAGTTCGTCGCGCAACTGATCTCGTTACGCAGCCGCGCCAATTCCTCCTCGGCCTCGAAGAGTTTGATGCTGTCGCGTTCCGTCTGAGCGGCACGCTCCCGCCGCTCCTCCGCAAGCTTATCCTCGAGCTCTTTGATCCTACTTTCATTTACAGTATTTATGACCTAGTGTGATAAGGAAAGCTGTTTAGTCCTTAGAAAGGTACGAAATCATATAACATGTCAGCATTTCGGATATTAACGTACAATTATTTTCTCAATTATAAAAAATATAAAGCGACAGTCAACATTATTTTTATAGAATGTGTTTTAAAGATGATTTAATTTAAATTCTTAGAATCGTATTTTTTTATAATTTAAATAATAAGATTTTGTAATAAATTAATCGAAATTGTCTATTATTATGGAGAAAATTAAATTCGTTGTAATTTTCTATAATATCGAATAAAGCACAAACACGTGTCATATAAAAACAAACGTGATTTGACTATTAAAGCTTACATTCGGAGTATATATGAGTAATATGAGTTTATTTAAATAAAACGATTTCCAACAGAAAGAAAGAGATATTTTTTTTACTTTAAGTTTTATTACTTTCAGTAATTATGGAAGTAACAAAACCTATATTAATATCCGAAAGCGTATATGTCGAAAAATAGAAAGCACAACGGATATGCGAAACAGAATGTGATTGTCGAAATGTACGAAATGCATGTTTCCTGGTGAAGAGAAAAAGAAGAAAGAAAGTAAATCAACAACTTTACGCGTGTGTGCCCAATTAAGAAACATATTATTCAATTTTGACATTCGTGCATACAAACATACACCACAAACAATTGTATAAAGATTAATTAAGTAATATAAATAACTTCGAAATGTAAAAAAGCGACAGAATTAATTCAATGCATGGAATAATTAAATAAATATATATAAATAAATAAATAACAAAACGTAAAAACAAAACGAGTACGTATCACACGCTTACGACAATATTATTTTAAATATCTTTGTGCATACGAAGCGTGTGTAGGTAATTTGTGAAGCTTACGTTATTCCACTAATACAACAGCAAAGCGTGACTACAAGGAAACACCCCGAACCCGAACTCTTCGATTTGGATGGATTTTTGTGGGTATATGTAGAGTGATTCAATACATGAATAACGATATGCCTCGTTCTTGCTTTATCGCCTTTTAAAGGTATAATTTTCAACTTTAAAGTCAAAAGAGCGCTTCCACATTTTCGCATATAAATATTTAACTCTTAAACTACAAGAAATAGAGAAAAATGTAAAATGTTTAAATTGAAAGTTCAATGGTAAGTTAAGATCTACCAAGTAACATAAACAAAAATTATAAAAAAAATTTTATATTGCAAAAAAAATTTTACTAATTTTTTAAATTTTTGTTTATACCACTTTGTAGACCTTAATTTACCATTGCACTTTTATTCCAAACAGTTTTCTTTATCGTTTGTTTAAGAGTTATACGCGAAAAAGTGGAAGCCCTTTTGACTTTGAGGTTGAAAATCATAATGATATAACACAAATGAAGCATACCATTATTCATATTGAGTCACTCTACATACTTACAAAAATTCATTTAAATTGAAGAGTTTGAGTTCGAGGTGTTCCCTTATAAGTTAACCACTGTTAATCCAAATTTATGTACAAAACTAAAATCGCGAGGAACGAAACTACTCATAAATGCATTAACAATTTGTACAATTTCAAATACAAGAGCGCTCAAGGCGCAATTATCACGCGCTATTCCATCCTTCAAATCTCGCGATTAACAAGCGGACGTCTTAGGACGTCGTTTACAGAGTGCATAGTTTAGTTTTGTTAGTATGACCGGCGCAAAGTTAGTCAGCGATAGCGTTTCTTAGTCTCTTTTTATTTGAGCGCGTTCCACGTCAGCCGAATCTTTGATAGAACTGCGACGAAATGCAAATGGCTAGAGTGATGATTAGGCAAGCGGTGCCGAAATACTGCGTCAATCCTTCCACGGGCCCGAAGCATCGGATACTCACACTTTGCTCAGATCTCTCTTTCTGAAAATAAATGATAAGTTTGCCGGATTAACAGAAAAACTAAATGTGTTCTCCTCTCCTCCTTAAAAAATAGCAGATTTCTCTTTTTTTATTCCCTTTTCTTGAAATTTATTCAAAATTCGATTTGTAACCAGAATAATTTTCCAAATTCAAAGTTCTATCTTCGCCGTTCTGTTATGTCGATGTCGGTATAAATCGCATAATTAATATATCAATTTTGAAATAATTTATTGCAATAGGATACTTCTGCACAAGATATTCCGCTGCTAAAAGTTGTTAAGCTAATTATCGAGTTTGTTTGTTGATGTAGCTAAAGCACGTGTCGTAACGTGTATATTACCCGCCACCGTTATCCCGCGTGCGTACCGAATTGAGCATTTTACGACGAAAGCGTGTACCATATTTATTTCGAGTAATAACAGATACCACTCACGATATCTCCTATAGTATTACGAATGAGATATTTAGAATAATGATTATATTATAAAACGAAAGCACATATTTGAACAAATCAGGATAACACAACAAAAATTTAAACGTCATTTATTTTTACTTAAGTGTGTCTAAAATATCGTATATAGGAAATTTTCTCTCACGTCGGTTCTACACTAATAAGAAAAACGAATGCCATTGCAATGATATTGGACATCTTGTATATATATTATTTATTAATATCCAGATGAAATATGAACAAAATAACAGCGTGAATGAATATACTTACTGAGAGTTCCGATTTTTTTTTTATGAGGTACTTAGAGTTTATTATGCTTAAGATAAATGATCATATGCTTGTATAAAACTGACACGCTAATTAACAGACGCACGTACCTGTATGTCGTCTTTATTCACGGACTCCTCTTCGAAACGAAACAGAAGATCCTCGCACTTCCGTTTCTCCTCTTCCAGCTGCACCACCAGCGCGACCTTCTCGCTGAGGAGCTTGGCGACGGTGAGCTCCGCTTCGTTGACCGTTTGCTGCATCTGCTCGCGATACTGAACATCGTCAATAATAATAATACCGAAAGAACAAAAAAGAGACGGGAGATGGGGGCTTTCGAAACCGGGACGAAACCTCAGAACGTCAAAGATATCGGTTCGGTTTGTCAAATTGATGAACAAGATATTTCAAGTCATTGACAGTATGTTGCACGATCTTTTTGCACGGAGCGGAGATAAAAGCACGAAAAATGGAGCACGATATTTCACGCGTTCAGACATTTGTCCCTAGGCCTGTTCTTTTTAGCCGACCTTCTTGCGCAGTTCAACTTTCCTCTTTTTCTTTCCATGTTGGAGAGAAAAAAAGAAAAGCTGAACTGTGTCACAAAAGCTAAAAAAAAAACCAGACTTCCTGTTTGAAAGGCCGCCCGTCGGCGTCGCCGCGATTTGAATTTGACGGTGTGTCTACCTTCTCATATTCTTGCTTGATCGAAAGCGCCGATTGCTCCGCTTGGTCAGCTTGATTCGCCGCTTTGGTGACTCTCTCGCGTTCCAGGTCCCGCTCCTTTCGCAGGAACTCGATCTCCTGTTGCTTCTCTTTCAAAACCTCCTAAAAGCACGAGCCGGGTTCTAATTCAACGTCGTGATGACGCGAGAAATTTTAAAAAACAAAGATTTCAGAGGAGAAGAAACCAATACAAAACTAACACGAAATGCAGTGTATAATAGCGATCATAATTTCCTATTTAATAATATTATCGTAATTTGCAGAGCTATCGCAAAAGAAAAAGAAACGCACGACTAAAACAATTTATTTCTCGATTTCTCTTTTCGGTACATATTTTTTAAAAGCTGTCGACCGAACTGGAATAAAGCGATGCTTCTTCGTTTGCGTCAAACAAATTATTACGAACTTGCAATATCAAGCACTAATTAATTCTTACACACTGATACATCCTTGTAAAATTTGTATAAAAAAGGACGGGATAAATAATTAAAACAATTCTCTTGCTGCATCGTATAAGTTTTTACAAAACACGAGCAAACTAAATTAGCAGCTACTACTCATTGGCTCTCTACTCGAGTTGAATACCAAGTTCCAATAAGAACGAGATAAAAGTGTCGCCGATTGAAAATCCTTCGATCGTTATTGCATTCCGCATTATGCAAACAGTTTTGCCGAGATCGCGCAGTCATCGAGTTTATGCGACGAGACTTTTAATCGACTGCCACTACAACGTTCCGGATTGCGAATGCAATTAGCAATACAAATCGCCGATCAATACTTTGGATCGCGTTAGTGAGATTTGATTGATCGGCTCGGTGATGCTGGTCGTCGTTTCTCTGTCAAGACAGATATCGATCTATGTACAATTATGTCTCGGAAAATTCTTAGAGGTGAATTAATCTCGCAACTGAGATAATCTCGCGCAAGGAAGAATTGACCAATCAAACGCAATACTTGTTAATTATCACGTGAATAAAACGACGTAGGAGAGATACTCACCTAGAAGCCAGAGAACATTACGAGGAGGAGGAAACGTGGGATTTTATTAACAATATGTACAGAGATCTATGTATTATAAGCTTCGATGATGCAACGAGCAATAACAATAAATTAACGACAAATAAGAAATAAATAAAATCGCAGTCGGCAACCGTTAACGATCGCTCGAGTCGAGTCTCGCTAGTCAGCCAAACGTCTCGCTAATTACCCTAATTAATGTACATTCGCGTCGCAACACGCACTTGTTAATCTACGTCTATTTCTACAGGATATATGAAGTAATTGGGGGATCGATGGGAGAATCGCGGGATAGCTTATCGGCGATCGCTTCTAATTGACGAGGATAATTAATTAATCAGAAATAATATATCAGAGTTACGAGTCGGGTTTCACCTGCAATGAACTTCGTGCAGGTGTCGACGTGCGCATGCCAGGCCTCTGGAATATCGGGGACATAACGGAAACACAAGAGAAAACAAAAAAATAAAGAAAACGTGCAAACCTTTCACAACAGCAATCTTAAATAACAATCAATGCACCAGTCAGAAAATCACGCGCGCCAAGGTACAAGTTTCGATTAAGAGGTCAGTGTTAATGAGAAAAAAATAGGCTGCCTAGAAAGCGGCAGGCAACGACTAAAATTTACGGAGGGAATTAACCCTTAAGTAACTTCGCAGGTGAAGAATTGGATCGCGAAGGATTCGACGCAAGAAGAGACTTAGGTCCATAATTGACAAAAAGGAAAAAAAATTAAAGTCTCCTTTAAAAACCAGGCGGAAATTTAGAATTCAGTTTAAAAAGTTCCATGCAAAAACGAACCGGAAAATTGCGAGATAGGAGTTTCTTGTAAGGCCCACTCTAACTCCCTGTCCAGACAGCACCATGTCCAAAGTCGGGGTATTAGACATCTTAAAAACGTCATTAAGACGTCTTTAAGACATCTTTGCGTGCAGTCTAGGTGTAATCATATAACACATAAATCATTCTCGCATTGAACGCTTCTCACAATTCTCGCGCATTGCGATTTTTCGCAAATGTAAGTCGTTCGCGGTTACTTCAATTCGATAAGAAATTAACTTCGTCACGCCGAATCCTCCACAAACCCGTTTGAAGAGTCTCTCGTGGGCTTCCCATGAAAAATCATGGTCGAGCTTCTGGCGATTCCTCAAAGAAGAAGACTTAAGGATCAATTGCCCAGCACCAACAAGAACAACAACAACAACGACAACAACAATACGTTCTACGGCTAGACTAATAAGTAAAGAGCCAACAACTTTTGGCGGCGGGCCGCAGGATAGCCGCGCGCAATCCTCTCTCATCCCCTTCATTCCGGCATGGTGAACCTTACCCTCGCCGTGGTGCCGCTCGCCGGGCTCGTTCTCGCGCTGACGACGCTTGAGGCGAGGCTGGAGGCGAGCGACTCGCGCGAGCCGCTCCTCTTCTGGAGGCTGGTGACATTAAGGGCGGCGCCGCTCGGCTTGTGCACCACGCATATGGACGGCCTCTTGCTGAACGGCGACTTGCTGACCTTGTGCACGGGCGCGAACAAGCCGTGCTTGGGCAAGCACTCGAAGTATCTGGATCAACGGGTGGGTTAGTTTCGCGGAAATCTCGGGAACGCGAGTCGCGAGTCGTAAAGGGGATGATCATGCGAACTATATCTCTCGCGACGCATCTCGAGCAAGCGTTAGTCGCGGGACCAGCGAATTAAAAGAGAAAACTTTGAATATTCCCCGAGATCGTTGGGGACGTCAGAAATGGAAATTCCCCTCTTTCTTACGGAAAGTGAAAAACTAAATTCTCTTTCTGCAGTATTTTGAAAACCTAATGTCAGACAATATTAATCAATACTGACATTTAACCATAAATAAGAATTCCTGGGATTTTATATCATTCCGATAAAAAGGGTTAAATTCATTAATGATGTCACAGACTCTAAGAAACGAGAAAAGAAAACTTTTAGCGAGTAATACATGTAGTAATTAAACGGAGTAATATACTCTTAATAAACGAAGCAACGGTTTTTCTTCTGGGACCGGTTAGAAGCCTCAGGATTGTTTTAAATGATGGAAAATACGAGGCAAATTTGATATTCTTTCTTTCTTTTCTTGCGTCAAGATGCTACGTCGAGGTTCAACCGAGGAAGATGCACACCTTTTGTCATTGACAGAGCCATCATTCTTGCCGATCGGGTCATCCAGCTCCACGCCGCACCATTCGCCGGCGGCGAACTCTGCGGTACCCTGATATCTGAGCACGCCGGTTTTGCTGCCCTGGCTCGACGATACTATCACCCGGTCACCTATCCTCAGCTCGCCCCTTTGGGTCGTTGACGACAGACTTGTCGTCGATGCATCTGCATTCACAGTTTTCAGCGATGCGCGATCATTATTACATACCCACTCATTTAACCGCGCGCGCGCCGGTTAAGGAATCACGAGCAAGTTGGATAATCTCTCTCTCTGTCCCGTTAAAATTAAACTGTTTCTTTGTTTTCTACAACGACGAACTAGATTCTAGGTTCCTGTCTATACAATAGTCAAATAATATTTTTCTTTCTTCTTTGCTAAGTACTACTTAAAGTTAAATCTATGTATAATTTACGTTTCTATGAATACATATTTCCCTTTCCTCCTTCATATATTTTTATTATACTTCTTTCTTTATTATAAATCTATTGTTCAGTTAGACTAATCTTATGACTTTCTACAGGTATAAATGAATTAAAATATTCCATTTTATTGTACACAAAGGAAAATCAGCTGCTTCTCTATTCTACAAGATAACGAGAATGAATAATTTCCTATGGGTATGTCAATTTACTTATTCGGTATATTTTCAATCAATAAACTTACTACTCTCGAAATTAGACAGCTCTTTAAATTAGATTTTTCTTTCCAAAAAATATTAAATTGCTCTGTGTTTACGAACATCTGCAAATAACTTTGATCAACGTATTCTGCTGATAAGCGCGTTATTCGCGAAATTAAATTATTATTGCAAAAATTTAATCAAAGATCTTAAATTACGTGACACTTAAATTACGTCACGCTGCATGCTAGTGAAACTAAATTATTTCCGTGCTACGTGCTGACTAAAAAACTAAATTTTTTTACATTAAGTCGTGTACTTTCCATAATAGAGTGTTCTTGAAGCACTATCGCATTGTAATTAAAATAATGCAAAGTAACTAAAAATAATTTGTGCTTCTCAAGCCTCTAAATTAGGCCCACACAGCATGATCAACTACGATTAACTCTTTCACCTCACCTTTTCTGTTACTTCAATTTTAATTATAATTTCATCAAATAATTTTAGTGTCTATATAATAAATACGCATAATTAATCTTTATAACTAATCTTTTTAATAAAATATTTGTTTTAGAATAATAAACAAAATATCTCATTGTTACTTTATATCATCATCGTGATTATTATCCGGATAAGAATTCTCAGCAAGAGCTTTTAAACAAATGTTAAACAATATTGCTGAATATTACATAATTCTACAGTAATATAATCTGCTTTAAAAAAGAGTATATATCTTGCTTCAAAAAAGATTCCATACTAGAATAAAATTATTTGACAGGCTATTTTAGATCGAGAGATAATTTTCTCTCACAGCGAGAGAGGCGAAAGGGTTAAGGCCAAGATAAACTAAATGAAATCTGTAGACGGCGTTTGGCGTGCGTTCGAGTGTGTAGCGTTAGAAGGCGTCTACGGACGTGGCGAATATCTCTTGTAGCGATCCTTACTCAATGACGACGACATGGATTTGCTGAGGTAGCCGCTCCTGGTGCTGTCGGGCGGCGTCGACGGCGATGTGATCACGCTAGTCTGATGATCGCCCAACGGGTATCTGGTGAGTCTGGTGAGCCTCGAGAAGATTCCTTTCTTCGGCTCGCACTGAAAATACCGGCTACCCGCCACCGAACCGTCGTTCTTCCCTAAAGTTCAAGGTTTGGGAACCTGAGGTTTCACCTTCACTCTTTCTCCGAGCTCCGCCGACTTATCTCTCTCTTGTTTTTTTTTTCATTCGCGATTAATGGGACTTCTTAATGAGATTTCAGTTACAGTATGATCTGCATGATCTTGACAATTAATCAGGAAAATTCTTTACAAATACGGATGTCTTAAATCTTTGAAATTAAGATTCTTGATCTTTACAACTCTTACGATCGACTGGATCGTTACGGTGGTCCTTACCGATGGGCTCGTCCAGGACGACTCCTGCCCAGTCCCCAGGGGCGAATTTGGTCTCGCCGATATAAGCGATCGTGCCTGGTTTCGTGCCGCCGACCCATACTCGGTCTCCAATTTTAAAGCTGTCTGTATCCTCGGTTAGGACGACGCTGGTATCTACGCGGGACCGAAGAGGATTCTGTTTGAAATATCGACTGGCGACAACGCTAAGTTACAAAAATCTGACCTCGATGTCCCGGAGCAATTTTAGAGATAAACAAATCACTAGGCGGGACGCATGTCTAATAAAATTGACGGTTCAGTTGTAAACTTGTGATTTTCACTAGACTCTTTAAGAAAATTCTGAAGTGGATTCTTCCCTTAGTAAAATTATTAAAGTATCTATAGTTTTCAAATTATTAACGACTAAAAGATATAAGATTTTACTTTATACAAGAGAATTTTAGTTTCAGCGTTAGTTACAGATTGAAAGAGTCAATATTTTAACATTGTAAAAAAAAGATGTCAAAAACTGTCATATTATACTGTTCCTTTAAAATATTTGCGAAATTACAAGAACCGTCTACTCTAACTTGAAGAAATTGGTTCAAAGAATATTCAGTAACTGAGACATTCTATATAAATCCTTGATGTTACATTAAATTACGTATTACATTTACTATTACTACGTATTTCATATTATTGTGCAAACTATATTACGCATGCATATATAAAATACATGTAAGATGCTATATATAAATTAATAAATATTCTAAACGTAAAGCAAAAGCGCCGTTAACATGAATACATAAATACAAATGCGTAACACTACACAGGCCAATAATATTTACAAACCTACAGCTACGCTCATATGAAAGTTCACATATCCTTCAATATCGCGAAAATAATCTAATATAAAACGATTTCATATTTCACTATAAAGTTTGATTTTAGAATACATATACATTTACGTATGTTTAAGTACATTTTACTTAAAAAATCTACATTTTATTTTTAAAAATCTAAAATACTCCGAATCTCGAACAAACACAAACATCAACTGACAGATCGTAATTCAATATCAAGTTTTATTGGTTCTATGAAACTAGACTAACTGTCGACTACGAAAAGTCGTCCACTGTTTCTTGTGAATATAGCTTTAAGAATTGCGATCTTTGAAAAACTTTATTGTATGCGGCTTACCTGACCCTCTTCGCAAGCTAGCCTCGTTTATGTGACGGCCGTGCGATTCCCAGAGAGGCTCCATCTGATCTGCCGTTGTCATGCAAAATAATGCAAATCATAGCAAAAAACGAAAAAAAGGAAAAATAGAGTGTACCTCGGCGCGAAAAACGTTTCTCTTTGCCGAGAGTGCAACAGTAAAATTTCGTCCAATCAATTTTAATTGGTAATTATCGTGCTAATAATAATTCGTCTATCGCTACAATTCTCAATATAATTACAATAGCGAGATAATATTAATCTATGTGTAAGCTAATAATATTTCAATGATAATTAGATATTAGAAATAATTATTAACTACAATTACAAATTACTATAAATGGCAATTAATATTTGTAATAATTAATATTAAATATAATACACCCTTTCAAAGCCGAAAAGCACGAAGTAAACCCCCCCCCCTCTCTCTCTCTCTCTCTCTCTCTCTCTTTCTCTCTCTCTCTTTCTCTCTCTATTCATATTAAACATAATACCTTTAATATGTATCTCCGATATATTTATAATTTTAATTCAATATACTTATTTTCCATCGTTTTAAATATTCTTTTTATTTTACATATTTTTTGTATTTTTCTTTAATTCAAGGCCAATTTGCGCGCCGATAATAATTTTGGAGACACGTAATGACATCGGTGCGAAGTTGTAAAGTTGATTATAGCACGCTAAGTTAATTACTAATTATTATGAAGCGACGTTAAAGAGGGGACGACGAGAGGTGATTCGGCGCGAATCGGATCAGGGCTTGGTCCTGGTAATTGCCGTTGTGATAATCGGCATCGGAAGTTGATCACAATCGGCCCAAGACAGAGAGTTATGTAAACGAATCGTTAATGGCGAGTCAGGGTGTGTCCAGATGACGCCGATAAGATCTGGCGATTTCTAGCGCAATATGCAATTATGCGAGATATTTTTTGAATAGCACAATCGTTTATAATCGTATCATATGTTGTTTTAATAAACTAGCGAAAAAAAATTCGGTCTCAATATTCATAATAAATTTATTTTGCTTCTATATTCTAGCTATTTCATGTTATAGATATGTATAACGAATAATTCATATTTTAAATCAATTTACGCCATTTACGGTCAGGACTGGATCTTGGTAGACTAATATTATTTGCGTGAATTTTATGTACAATTCTTCGTGAGATTTTCCAAGACGAAGAATTGTACACAAAATTCACGCGAATAATATTTATTGGACGTTTTCTCCAATTGATTGTATATCGATCCTATTTCACTTTTCTTATTATCATAGTAAATACCTATTTCCACACAGAAAAAAAAGAACATTCTTATTTAGAAAATTTTTGACATGTAAGTCTTAACCCTTAAATGCCACACCTCTCAAGAATCTCGTAAATGACACATGGGGTCTAAAAGACCCCAGCATGAAAAATGTCTCCTTACTCATTGATTTTTTGATACATAGTTATGAAAATTATTTTCAATGTTGTTCAAGGCTTAGAAAAGAGAATAAAATGCTTATATTGTTAAAATTTCAATTTCAACATAGTATAAAAAATTAAGTAAACTGAGTACTGCTAAGTGTACAACCGTGTAGATCAATCACTCAACTATCATCAATGGGAGCATGAGCTCCATTTTTGGCAAGAACATTTGAAAACATTTCATTCTAAAGGGTCTGGGGTCCGCTGGACCCCGGGTGGCATTTAAGGGTTAACCCTCAGTTTTTACACCCCGACATTACCTCACCAGAATCTGAGAAACCCCTGCCGTCTTCTCCAGCTTGTATCTTTAAGACAAATGCATCAATTTGAAGTATTTTTTTTTTTTAATCGATGCGTCTTTAAAGATCTACAAGACTGTGCAAGTTAGATTATTCACAAAGCTCATCATTCACGTCGCCAATGTTCCTCCCGCGGCGTTGCGCGCGCGCGAAAAAACTCCGCAAAAGGAGTCACCGGTCACCGGTATGTCCGGGTATTCGTGGCGATTCGCGATTTAATTAATTACTTATGGAAAAGCGCGTGGGCGCGTGCCTTGTCGTAGTAGGTCGGTCGCGTGGGTCGGAGCCTCTGTTCGACGAGATGAAATCGCGATTACGCGGCCGCAACCGCCGAGGTCTCCGCCGCCGCCGCCGCCGCCACCGCCGTCGCGTCGCGGCCGAGAGAGGCGTTATGTATCCCAGCGATTTTATCTTTAGTGCAATCTGCATTTAATGCACCTTTTTACGCGCACGTTGCATCGCTCGGAATGACGCGCGATTACGCGCGAACGGTCGTCCGCGATCGGCCGGTCGACGCGACGGTACGCCGATCTCGAAATGTCAGAATTAAAAGATATGTACTTAGCGAAACGGTGACGTTTTCATCTTTATTTGAGAATCTTAATATCATTAAAATGTTGTTAAATATTTTTATAATAAAACTAACACGGTTAAAATAACCTAAAAAATAATTAATTTAATAATTTTAAAAATAATCTAAAAAATAATCTAAAAAATAATCTAAAAAATAATTTAAAAAATAATCTAAAACTTAAATAAAATTGACATTGCTAAAATAATCTAAAAAATTATATTAATCCCGAAAAAAGGTAAAAAAGAGAGAAGAAGTAAACCGCTTCAATTAAACTTCAAGAAGAAATTTTCTCCTGAATTTGTCAAAAAACGCGTTTCTGTGTATTAAAATTCGTCCCGAGACATCCATATTTTCGTTGCTGCGTAATAATCTATGCGAAACCTTGCGCGATGACGGTACATGATTATTAGAGCCATACGCGACGCACGATAATTCTCGATGACAGAATACACTATACTTTTTAATTCAAGCGTGTTGGCCGTGCATGATTAATACAGAACCGACGTGATCCGACGCCGTAATCGTGGCGCCATGTTTCGTTGGCGAATGTCTGTGAATTATGCATCTTACATGATTTTAATTCCTCTTACATCAATTCTTACATATATATAATACACATTATTCTTTTATATAAAAGATTATTAATTAATTACACCTTGTAATAACGTAAATTCTATTTTATGAATCCTTTTAAAAATAATAGATTTTAAAATCATACAATCGCAATTGGATTCCTGTATTGAGTTGAAATTTATTTTATTATTTTCCATAAAAACTTTTGCAATACTTACCGTCGAAAAGAAGCGTAAACATCCTTCTCGTTAGATATATATCTTTTAATTTATAAAAAAAATGATCTGTAAGAATTTCTATCGAATCTTCGAATGAAAATAGAATCTGTTTAACATTCTAGCTGAATTTTTAACAGAGCATTACCGAATTACTTTAGCCCATCGATTATCCCACGTTTTGTAGGGTTAATAGTGTCAAGTACCCCGATCACTCGATACGACACAGCTGTAAGAATGCCTATAGAGGCGGCCGTTGCATGGATATACGGGCACTTTGATCCCTCATGCGTAGATATCCACGTAAGTACGTAAACCAGTTTAATAGCCGTAGATAGATATCGTTACAGCTGTTACGTGTAATTCATCTCGCGTTACAACGAGATTACGACGCGACATAGCGAATGTGATTAAGCAATTGTAAACGCTATGTCGATAATTATGAAAATTAACGATATCTTTATCCGTTCAATTGCGAAATCATTGTGGAAGCGAACTCAAAATTAACCCTATTTCATCCAACCAGCCCTTTCGTGTCCCACAAGTTTCTAACAGTCGTTTATTCCGGAAAACAAATGATCGTCAGATAATCCCCCACTCCTAAAAAAAGTTGTTGTGGCAGGGAACCTCAGGTAAAAATTTCAAAGTCCTAGCTCATTTACTCTCGAAACAGCGAACAATCAAAATCTCGGTAGAACACGAAAGTGCATGGTTGGAGGATTACGTCAGTGTTTTGTGAAAGGTAAATGAGCTTTTTTTCGATAAAAATGTATTTTTATGTATAATTTAAGCGTATTTAAAATATTTTTGTCGTTAAAAAAAAATTTAACATTCCACAGAGGTCTATTATGGCTCAGAGGCAAGTGGAAGAGATGGGGAAAAGCTACAATTATAAAAAAAAAATTAATTTTTTTACATAAAAAATATCTGTCACACTTCAAATTCGCCTTTTCTTATTCAGAAATTTTTTTTCTAGCATTCTTTAAGTTTTTAAAGTCCTTCTGTACCATTTAAACATTACCAAATTTGCGGCGACAAAATTAAGTATTCCTATTTAATTAATAATTATCTCAGTTTTTTTCTCATTTGCACTACTTTTAGCTTTAATTTGCGTTTTGGTTTATTAAGCTTCGTCAATTTGTTCGTGAGTTATGATTTTTTAAGTAAAACGAGTCGTAACGTGTATTTGTCAACATATAATTGTTGTAAAAAAATATTTAAATAAATGATTTCCAAATTTTCTTTACATTGATTTTTAGTCGTAAATACAAAGATATTATAATAATTTTTGGGGAATTTTTCAAAGCTATTAACATTATAAAAAACACGTGGGACTCGAAAGTGCATGGTTGGAGGATTATTGGGGCAAAAAAAACGTTGGATGAAATAGGGTTAAAAAATTGAAAAAAGAAATATATTTATTTATTTATTTCTTTTCTTAATTTTTAAAAATTTTGAGTTTCTTTCTATATAATATATATAATTGTATAATCATGGCAGAACGGATAAAGTGGTCGCACCCGATCGCGATTACGCCGCGCGCTACCACTTTCGTAGACACGTGTTTCATGCCCACGGTTTTCATATTTACCAAAGACTAATAGCAGACTTTCGTCAGACCGCGGAATTCGAATGGATGGCCTTAAAAGCGGCTTCAACAGCGTTCCCGTACAAACATCAAGCAAATGGCAAAGTAGCAGCCCGAAACGAACCGTGGCCCCGCGCGCGGCGCGCACTCATAAACCATTTATCTTTCTCCATATTTAGCCGATGGTGTCACAGTTACCGCAGAACACCATGCCGACGATTGCGTCAGAGCGAGGCGCCGCGCCGCTTTGCCTTTCCGTTGCCGTCGCGGTTAATTTGAGTCCTTGTCGGAAAGAAAAATCAGCTAATCGGAATTGAACTCGAGCGATTGGAAAATCGGTTATGCTGCCGCAAACCACGTAATCGATATAGAGTATTCTATAATAATTACGTGTCTTAATGATGTCTTTGAACTGTAATCGATTGCAAGAGAATACCATTGTCATTTTGTTTCGACATTTTTTTAATATCGCAGACATAAATCTCGTTACAATTATATGTAAAATATTCTTTTTACGAATTATTCTAGAAATACTACCACAGCTGACGTACAATCCGTTTAAATTACACAAACAAATTTTCTCTGTTAACTCATATCCCTCATTAACATTAACTATCAAAAGGGTCAAAATAACCCGTTTGACATTTTTAAATAATGTATTACTCATTTTTAAAACATGTTAATTTCTGAAATTTTGCCTGACTTTTATTGAAGTTACATAGATGATAAATTTTATTAATTTGTACTCTCTTATTTTCTTTTCTTTTCTAAGATTTCTTCGGTAAGAAATAAATATAGATTAATCCCCGGTAGCTTTAGTGTTAATTTGGTGAATTTTAGAAATTTGAACACAAATATAATTTTAATCTTCCGACGGAAACATTCGAGACGTTTCTCCTAATTTCATTTAAAGTTTTAGTTTTAATTATTATATAGCGATTCTGCTATATCCCTTCCGCTGGACCTCGCAATAACGTGAAACGAAAAACGAAGGCCTTGAATCTCCCGATCGAATTGCGAAACTCGAGAAACCGATCGACCAATCTCCCGCGAGAATCAAAACGGGAGGGCAAAGGGAGCGAGAGGAAAAAAGAGAAAGAAAAGAGAAGGACCCGGGGAGAAAAGACGCGAAACGCGACATGAAATCGCGGGCGCGAGATAAACATCAGTGCAGCGGCTTGCATAATCGCAATGCGTCAGCCGACGTTGTGCGATTGTGCGGCGAAGGCAATTCAATGGCGTTGTACCAATAAGGCAAGATACGTGCCCTGGATGCGACCAGAGGCGATCGCGAAAACGCACCTCATCGCCCGTTATGCATCGCCGAGAGGCGCGCCGAGAGTGATCTGCGCGGCAGAAAAATAAAGCGATATAAAATCTGATATTCTGCGTCTTCAGAATGCGGCTGTTGTACGAAGGCAAAATCTAAGAAAAGAAAGGGAAAGGATGGAAAAATAGTAACAAAGAAAATAAGACAAATTTGTACTTTAGAAGAGAATGAGGAAATAATAAAATAAAAAAAAAAACGGGCACAGTAACAACGGTACCGCAACCAACAATGATAGAACTACGTCTACTGCGACTAGTTCATGTTAAAGTATTCAGCGAAGGACGGTTGACGTAAGGCTACGTCGATTGTCACTATTTCATGTTCAAGTATTCAGCGAAGGACAGTTGATTTTACTGTGCCTGTTTCATTTTTATTATATTGGTAATTTTTTTCTAATTCTATTATGTTCTTTTCTACCCCTATTTCATATATAATTTTTTAAAATTTGGTTGATTAGTTCTTGAGTTACATACGTTACATACGTTAGAATTTGCTAGAAATATGTACATACGTAGAAGCCTAATAAAGCTGGGTCTAATCAATTAAATCTTAAAGTATTACATATAAAATAGGGGTAGAAAAACTGAAGAATATAATGGATTTAGAAAAGTTGCCAATAATTAATAATAAACTGCCAAAAAAGAAGAATTATTGAAAGTGGTTGAGACTTGAGCATAATTATTTGCTTATAATTGTTTGACTTCCTCATTGAGGAAGCTTTTCGAGATTTTCGAGACTTTCGAGAGGAAATGGGACTATATAAGCTATCCAATGACGTATTAATCATTACTCTACGATTATTAGTTTCGAAGATATAAACGTTCAAAGTGTGACACGTTTTCGTTGCATCTGTGCTCCCAATGTTATCCCCTACTTACTGTCGACAAAGACGTAGTTCTACGTCAAAATTCAAATCTTGGGTGAAGAATTAGATTTTAGAAGAAGAAAGGCTGTATAAACTGGCGTAGAAAATATAGTACAAGAGAATGAACTTACAATGCAAGGAAAAATCGGTTGATCAAGTGATCAAAGAAGAAATTATTTATTTATTTATACGTAAAAGTTGGCGTAAAAACGATAAAGCAACGCGTCGTGGCGATAAATTTTCTACAAAATTAATTATTATAATTACTACCAAGTATTTGTGAAGAATATTTCATTTATATATTATATATATATTTTCTTTTACTACCTAAAAATATTATGCCTATATTGAGATTGCTATTAGATTTGTCTTAACTTCCGAATTATCTGCCAATTATCAGCAAACAACGTTCTTAATCACTCCAGTTCCTTTCACTTTTCAAAAAGCGGTTTATTATTTAAAAATACGTTCCGCGAGCGTTAAAAATACGAATCACTCTCGATCAATCGTGACAAGTCAAGTTGATCGGCGTTCACAAATGAAGAACAGCGACAAACATGCATATAAATTATAATAATCGAATTGAGTGATAATTAATGTAAAGTTATAAAACGTAATAAAATTTAATTATGATAATTATACTGATTACTGAACAATCCTTCGAATTCTGTTTTCAATGTTTGACGATCAGTTTGACTCACCACAATTTACTCTTTCGGCGAACGCTGCACAAAGTAGAGAAAAAAAGATTTCGTTTACCTATCCTACTCCTCTTTTAACAAGACAACAGAAAGAAAAGTAAGCACTATTCGCAAAGTACACGCGACTCACCATTAATTCCCACGAGTTTCTGATGAAAAATATTTACCAGTTTCTCTCTCTGTCTCTCACCTTCTCTCGCGCGAGGGATGTGTCGTCGCGAATGGCCGAGGAACGACTCGCGCGAGCAACAACTCACGGACTCGCGCTCGCCAGAGCGCTCGCGTTCACACTCGTTCACAATCGAGCCGTGGGCGTGCACGGTGTTCCCGGTGTGCGTGCATGCCGGGGCGAATTAACGAGACACTCACAATACGCGTTCGAATCGTAATAACGTTCATAATAACTTAATTACTGTTTATGATAGTCTTCGTCAAAACGTACTCCGCGCATAAACACTTTTACAGCATAAGAAAGTTAGCATTACGAAAACAGATTAACGTTAATGACATAAATACGACTTTACTTATCGGTTATATTTATCACCTGAATCATCTATTAATTAATAAACTTTCCATTACACTTCGTATGCATGAGGCAAATGGCAATGGATCTCTCTTTCGCGTAATAATAATCGTAGAAAAAAATATTTTTGATAAGATTCTTCCGGATTCTTCCTATCTATTGGTGTTTTAAAAATTTGAACCGGAATTAAGAGACATAAAACCTGAAAGACAATATGTTATTTTCTTATGCAGGTAAAATATGGAGTATGAAGAGCGGGTATATGCATATATTTATTAATACATGATCTATTTTTCAACCTAACATGGGATATTGTCAGACATTCTTTTATGCCTCTTATCAATATCAGATATCTATATATATTATATCTGTTTAGTACAAAAATGGATAACAGATATCAAACAATAACACACGCTCAAATAATATAACACTATAATTCGCATGCAATAAAAAGGAACGGCGCATAATTTTGTTCAAGACTCACTGGACGTTGGTCTCATTGGGGAAGGCGGAATCGCCGGTCTGGGAGGCATGGTGGAGCAAGGCCGGCCTATCTTCGACGGCGGTCTCAGTCCTGATGGTTTTGACTCCATTATTCTCTATGTACTCACTGTTACACTGCACTGCAACAAAAATATTATGTTAATTAAAGGTAATGTATATAAAAAAAAGCAAAGTACGGAAAAAGATATTAATTTAAAAGAAACTTTTTTAAGAGGTATAAGCAAAGACAGAAATAATCTAATAAACGATAAATCTGAGATATAAAATGTAAATACATTAAATTTTTTTTATTAGAGGGTTTTCCTGGCACGTTCTACTACATTTTGAAATAAGATAAGTAAAGAATGTTGAAGAATTAAGTTAGAGTCAAATCAAATTTGGATAAACCGACGAGAAGGAAAATTTAAAGAGGTGATTAAGTTAAATTAAGCTTTGCGAATTTAACCAATTAAAAAATTTATGATTTTGCTGAAACCTTTACTACGTTTACGCGAGCGTTACTTCTGTAGTAACTTACGATAATTCCTTCGCGTAAACAGGATTTTGTAGTAACTTACGATAATTTACTCCGCGTAAACGAGTGATATATTTATCGTAAGTTACTACAGAAGTAACGCTCGCGTAAACGTAGTACTTGTCACTGACAATTACTCGCGTTTTCTCGAGCAAGAGAAATTCGCACAAGCAATTGCGAATACTATACGCGAAGACTAGGAAGTATTAGAGAGTACTTGTGAGTTCTAGTAAATACTTGCAAGTTCTAGCGAATACTTGCGAGTTGTAGCAAATACTTGCGAGTACTTGCGAATATTTTTTAATACTCACGAGTACCCGTGAGTATCCGCGAGTACACTATTAGATCGGCGAGTGCTTCGTACCGTTATCACACTCGACGATACGCGCAGACAACAACGTATACCTTCTCCAGCAGGAGCGAAAGAGACTCGAGTCTGACGAACGAGAGTTAACCTCAAAAATGTTTCGCGCCCGTGCGCGAAGCGCGGAGCTCGAGGATCGCGGTCTCACCTGAATAAAACGCTATCCGGGACGACCCGTGGAAGACAGCTAACGCATTTTACGCGCGACAATCGCGAGAACCGCGGATAAACGGGCGCAACGCAAAAATCACCCGATATCACAACTCGCGGAAAGAATGACAACTGTCCGTCACGGCCGGACTCGCTAACCTGTCAGCGCGAAATGTCCCCAGATGAGATTCAGCCGGAGCAGAGAGAAGGATCTTTGGCCAGAGTGTCACAGACAGAGAGAAGAATCTAGAGTCACAGATGCCGCCGAAAGTTCCCGTCATCATACATTTATCATCATATTTACTTGTATATATTGCGATTATAACCGTTATGTTTGTTACTTTATCATATTATTATTAATTATATTTACACACGTCAAGTCGTCAACCGTATTCTAGTAACTTATCGCTAGAGGGGTCGAACGCGAATTTCTCGCACGTTCGACCCCTCTCTGTCAGTTCGACTGCACGCAGCACGACAGCATTCATTTAGAGGTTATGTTCGCGCGGAATTGGCGCCAATTCGTGTATTTACATCCAATCGATTGAGTCGAACTGACGTTCGGTCGTGATAGTTCTCCAATTTTCTGACTGAAATTTGTCCCCAAACGAGTCGCGGACTGTCATTTGTAGCGCTAAGATTAGTGAGAACCTGTAATTTTGTGTGTTCACGAAACAATGGTCCGACGAAAAGCAGTGCCCAGGTTATTTCTTATTTTCGTTTAATTTCCGTGTACCTCTTGCTTTTCACATTTATCACGATTATTTTAGTTATGTTAGTTATTTATTTAGTTAGTTTAGTTATTTTAGTTATATTAATCGGTAAGAATTATAATTATGCAGCATGTAGGGAAAGTTATCCTAGTACCGGACAGTATGATATTTGCACATTTCTACTGTAGAAGTGTGCAAATATTATATTGTCTAGTATTGGGGCAACTTCCCCTAATATATTATTATTCATTAATATAACTATTTATTAATTAGTATTTTTATTGTACTAATTTGTTATCTGATCTTATTTCTATGACATTTATGGATTTATTTATATTTAATTAAAATATATATTTCAGATCACCTGGCAGACTTTCTGAGAAAGGAGCGAGAAAAGAAAGAGTAAGCGACATGTGGTTAGATCAAATAACTGCATAAATTAACCGCGTTAAATTTTATACGTGAGATAAATTCTGCTACATATATTTATATGACGCATACCGTAATAGTAATATGTCTATTAAATTGTTGCCATATGTCTTTTGATATGTCAGACAACTGTGATAGTCAACAAACGTAGGAGGAAAGGTCGAGTGCTGCAGGAAATTAAACATCTGAGGAGAACCACACACTTTCTCATACCTAAACTACCTTTCGCGCGGTTAGTCAGAGAAATTATCCGTGACATATTCCCCAGAGAGGACATCGCCAGGTAAATATAACGCCTATATCCTAAAATTTTATGAAATCACAGATTGTTTCAATATATAGTGTCATTAATTATGAATTCATTTTTAAGATCATGTATAATTAATTAAGAGAAGAACTTTATTCTATGTGTACATACAATCGAGGACTAAAAGGTTGTCCAGTTAAGTTTCGGAGATCTTATTCATATATTTAATATCTAGCTATTATGTCAGCAATTACCATTTTTTCTTAACATTTCAATATATTTGACATCTCGTTTGTCTGCTCTTTTAATCACTGCATAAACCGTGTGCACTGGTGCTAATTTACTACCAAATGAGATACGTTCCAAAATTCAACCGGACGACCTATTAGTTCCCTACATACTGAAAGAGAGAATGTGCTTTTTATAAAAAATCATGAAATAAAAATCTGCTTTATTGCACATATAAAATTTTTGTGACATGCTCTTTCTCTGTCTCTCTCTTTTAAAGCTATTTTAGTAGAATATACTAGATATATATTTTAATTATTAGAAAAAAAATTATAGAAGAAAAAATTTAAGTTTCAATGAATCCTTACAGCATTCAACAAATAAGGAGTTGATTATAGAATTAACTTGTAGGATACAAGCCGCCGCTCTCGAAGCCTTGCAAGAAGCGACAGAGATGTACATCGTGCAGTTCTTTGAAGATTCCGTACTGCTGGCGTTGCACGCTAAACGGGTCACGCTTATGCGGAACGATATGATTCTAATGCGCAGGCTGAGAGGTCGGAACGATATCATCAACAGATAGAGAATTTTATTTCGTATAAGTTCAGTTAAATCAATATTTTAAATATTTTAAGATAAAACAAGAATTCTTTTCGAAAGTTCTATTGAAGTTTTTTCTAGGTCTAAGGAATAGGCAGTAAAAGATATCGGTTACTCTTTTATATAATGTTGACACAAAATGACTAATTATGGAAAGAGATATACGTATATATTTTTTAACAAACTTTTAAAGCGATATCATTATATATAGGAATCTCATTTTGTATCATGCTTCATTCAGAATGGGTATTTTGAATACAAAATATAGAAAATGTTATTTTCAACTTGAGCCTCAGGGACACGCGATGAGACAATCTTGTCGTACGAGACGATAATCAGAACCTAAACGATATCGAAAAAATAAATGTAGCTCTAAGACTTGTAAAGTATTTATATTTATTATACGAGTATTTGTTACTTGGTAAATTCCACTCCGTGCTGATGTGATAAATGTTGCTAAATAACTAAATCAGATGTATCCATTATTTTTATAAATATAAATTATATGTTTAATACTTTTAATAAAAAATAGCGAACAAAGAAAATTGAATGGGGAGCTGAAGATAAGCGACTTTGTTTTGCTAAATAAAATTTATTTCTGATAAACATTTCAAACATTTCGATAAAATCCGTAACTTTATGAAACTTTGGTAAAATATACAGTTTTGCGATAATCAGGCGGATCTCTTAAGCTACGAATATCGAAGCGTTGCCGTTTTAACTCTCGGCGCGAGAGTATATCGACAATTGGTACGATAAAAACAGTGTTAAATAGTAAAATACGGCGCGACCTGGAAAACAGTCACGGTTATATATCTGGTGTTCGACTTCGAGCATGTTTGCAAAACGGTATTTCTTATTAAAAGTCAATATAATTCTCTTTCTCGATAAAACATGTGAATCACGATCGAAAATTGTAAGGATTTTAGAAGACAAGAATCGTGTAAAATATTCTTTGGCTAATTTTAGAAGAATTCCATTTTAATCTCATCTTGAAGTATAATTATCAAGATATTTAACTTTGAGATTCTAGGTGCTACAAAAAAGAATGTTGCGTTTGATTAAATATTAGAGGATAAAATAATTTTTTTTTTTTTTTAACTTTGATGTGTGATCTTGATATTCAAAAAGAAATATCGCCGAACTATGCGTATTATCGAACACCTCATACAATTGTGTAATAAATGTATTTTCGGTGTTAGCTGCAATAAGAACAACCATAATTCGTGACCTATGCGAGCCACATGCGTCTAGCTGTAAACGCGGTCTAAAAAAAAAAGAATTGCCTAGAAAAAATAGTATTACAAATAACGACTTAGCCGCCTTAAACTCCTCGATTCGTTCGTTTCTACATATACAATATACATATGTAATGTATACAATACAACGAGAGAAAATACAATACAAAAAAGGCACCTGGAAAAGCAGGCTAATTCGCGTAAATACGCGTATTCCGAGTCAAGTCTCTGGCATCTATGAAGACACTTGTCGCATCTTTAGGCACAACATTTCGCTATATATACTTTCATGCTGCCTGTCATTGTACAGTGTACACGAAGCGGATCGCGAAATTCGGATTATAATTTTTGTAAGCTACGGCCGGAAAAATTCATTAAACAACATATAAAAGTCAACATCCAAATGTCTAATCTAATTTCTTCAGCCGAATTTCTTTTAAATGCTCCATTTAATTTTTAAAACTATAATTTATTCGATAATACATCAAGATTTTCATAAAATGTTTTCTAATCTCACTTTCGGGCGTCTAGACAAATATTTTGAGAAATCCCAAAACCGTCGAGGCGAATTTTTCAGATCCTTCTGAAAACTTTTAAACGCTTTTTCGACATAAAATTTCTTTAGTGATCATATAAAATATTTCCTAATTATCCAGTTATCTTCCGCGACATCTTTTAGACTTGAACTGATTGGGTTTCGCGCGCTTCACTTTGACCAGTTTGCAGAAATTAAATAACAAGAAGTCTCGCGTTGCTTCACTTTTTCATGAACGACCGCACTTTGTTCACGCACTTGTCCATGAAGTTCCGCTTGCGCTTAGGCTCCGCGCCCGTCGGCAGCGACGACAATGAACCCGGTCCCTTCGCGCGGGCTCTGCGTCCGCCGTATTCGCTTGACGAGACGCTCCCGTCGGAGTCCAATCCCGCACCACAACTTCTTGATGCCTTCAACAGCACCGTCGATTTGCCGTCGTCGTAGTCGTCGTTCTCGTCGCCGCCCCGAGTTGTCAATCTCTCCTGCGCTACCTTCCTGATCCTCTGCTCTTCCACCGGGTGTTCCTGGTCCGCGCACTGTCTGCTGGAGCATGTCGAAGACTGTCCTTCCGAGCTGGAACGTCGACTCGGCTTCGGAGGACGCGTCGGCGGGAGGGCCTCTTTATTACTCTCATCCTTACCCAAGGACATTTGTATGCTCTCCGTTTCGGACTTCGACTCGATAATGTCGGGCACTTTTGGTTTCGTTCTGAGAACCGGCCTGGGTTCGTCCTTGGATTCAACAGTCTCGGTATCAGGCTTCTTTTGGCTCTCTTCTGAAGCAGAGACGACTTCCTCATCTTCCGAACTCGTTGGAGGACATTCTCGACTCTTATCGCGCTGCACTTTGTCCTGCTCTTCACCGTTCTTCGCATCTTCATCCAGAAAACCGTCCAGACTGCGCGATCTCGGCCTGGGAAGCGGTGGTCGTTGGACGACCGCAGAAGATACCGACTTTCGCTCCTGGTCCTGTTGGTCCAGCAGCTCTAGCGAGCGGGATCGTGTCGACGGCGAAGGTGGTTGCCGCGGCGGCCTGCGAGGCACCGCCAGGTTGCTGCTGGCACTCACCGGATGCGGGTACATGAACTTGAAGCGCGGCGACGTGGGCGGCAGGCCCATCAACCAACGGGATGGACTTGACGACTTTCTAAGCCTATAACACGAAAAACAGAACTTATTGCAAAATCGGAACTCAGCGAGAGATACGTTTCTCATTTGCCTTCCTCGGTTAAGTAAGAGGATGATTGTCGTATATCTCTTTTTACATATCCTCAATCAAAATAAAATATGTATACGTTAAAACTAAATTAAAGTTTTAAAAGTTAAAACATATTAATTTTTGTTTTTTATTGTTAACAGAATCTATCATTCTGCAATATTTTGCATCATCCGAGAAATTAATATTTATTTTATCCTACTTTCAATATTTTGATTTTGTCTCAAACCTTTTTATACCGAACACGGTTTATTCAATAGAATTGCATCATGCAGCTTTACTACTAAGATCTATAGATATAACATAAATAAAATGTACATAATATGCATAAAGATTATATAGTAATATCTATGTGTAGAAAATTAAAGTTATTGCATTTATCGTATACATTTTCACGAAACTCTCATTGACGAACAAATCTGCAATTTTAGCATCATTAAAAATTCGATATAACTTGCTTGATTTTTTAACTTAAAAAATTTAAGTTAAAAAATCAAATTTAATCAATTTTATTGATTTATATTAATGTGTTATCTATTGTCTAAGAGATCTAATTAAAGAATAATTTATTCTACACGTAGACTATGTAATAAGCATCCGACATTCAGATAGACAAAAATTTATCTAAACTTTCACTATAAACCATATGTCTACACTAGTCTACAGCACAAGCACATACATATATCTAGGTAACACATTTGAAACCAAAAGTACAACGATATCAACAATATATTAGGGGCTGATTCAATATGAGGTTTTGGCAAAGCGACGGGATAGTGACAGATTAACACTGTTTAAACATCGATAAAGAATTTGTATCGCTGACTGACCTAGTCGTGATTGTCAATAGAGCGATTCGCAATCTTGGCTGCGTGAAAAAAAGAAATTAGCGTTGCGTTAGTAGAGCTCGCTTTAAAGTCGCATCATAAATCGATTCGTTAACGGCCAGTGTAAAGAGTTTACTTCCAATAAATTCAGATCATTAAAAATTCTTATTACCACCTGTAATCGTCACTTGGATTTCTTTTGGGTATTTTTAAGAAATCTGAATTATTAAAATATTTTCAATCTATAATAATAATTAATCCAGTTTGTTTTATTTATCGTCAAACTCTTTTTTCTTAATCAATTACTTTTAATAAAATTATTCTAAATTATTAATAATTATTATTAATAAACTTTTTTATTCATAATAGTTAATCTAGCACCAAATCATTAATCGAGACTTGGTTCTTGGTGCCGGGGTGTTAATGGATCCTACAAATTTCAGATTTTCTTTTTCTAGACATTGACGAATCGATTCACTCATCAACCCAATGTTAGGTGCTATACGCCTAATTATCAGGGATAACTACCTGCTCGATATGGCTGTGGGCGGGCCATCTAGTCAATCTCGCCCGCCCGTGGAATCCTTGTCGCTGCCCCTGCTTTCGTTGCTGTGCATTCGCTGATAGTTGGGCGGCTGTCGTATGTTTGTGTTACTCGGTGTATTCGGCTGGGTCACGTCCTTGGGAGCCATGCTGCGCGGAATTCCGCCAGACAGATCAGCTCTCACAGGTATCTCGCCTCGCATAAACCTGCACAATTATAAGAAGCGAAAACCGAAAAGTTAAATTAACAACTGTCGTACAGATCATCCTTAGATATATTTACATTATGTTATTATTAAAGTAAAATAATTAAATAATTAATGAAATGATTATTATAACAAACATTTTGTATCGTATATAGAAGACATATATTATTTAAAATAAAGTTATCTCAGAAAGCGACTCCTAAATATTTCAGCTATTGTACTAGAAAATAGAGTTGCCTTCTTTTTTCTTGTACTTTAAGCCATGTGCTTTTACCAAAAATACAGAAATAAAATTTAAAAAAGAGCAGTTGTTTTACCTTTCTAATTTGTCTACGCAAGCGTCTTGATAGTCGTGAATCCAGCGGACACCGTTGAAGTGGCAGACCGTGCGCATGTCTTCAGGAAGCTCCTCAGGTTCCGGCCATTGAAAGTTGTCGATGATTGGAATTATGTTGCATTGTGATTGCAGTGCGGCAACGATCTCCTGTAAAATAATCGAAAGTGCGAATTGAGACACCGTACGTTGTAAAAGCTTAACTTTTTGATCAATTCTTGAACATAAAATTGGGCATAATAATAAAATTCGGCGAAAAGAATAAAACCAAAAAAATTAGGACACGATATATAACATATATAGACATTAATATTTTAAAGTAATGTTTAAGATATTAGTTCTAAAACAATATATTTATTATAATATGTTTGACAATCTGAGGAAAATGTTTCCCTGAGAAGAAAAAAAAATTTGTTAGTGAAAGATATTTTTTTCCGAGGCTATCTCTTCTTTGGTTTCAAATTCTCTCAAAAATACATTGAATTAATCGAATAATTGTATTAAATTGAAAAATTCGTTTGCCATTTGCTTACATGGCCTCAAAACTGATAAAACAAAAAAGCAAGCATAAACTTTTTATTAACTTAAGAGCATATATAACTGAAGGTAACAAAAGTCTCAGTATCTTTTTAACAATAAAAAAAACAAGAAGAAACATATCCAGAAACTCACCCTGTGTACCCAGTCCTTGCACTCGCTATCTTGTATACACCTCTCCAAAGCCTGGGGCGTGAGCACGAGGAGGAAGTGTTTCGCCTGCCTGATGCTCTGCAGCAGGTTGTTGTCGAACTTGCCGGCCTCGAGCCTCTCGACGTCGATGAACACCGAGAAGCCGCGCAGCTGCAGATGCACCTTCAACAGACTCGCCAATTGCGAGCCGTTCGATCGGCGATAACTGACGAAGACGTCGAGGGACTTGTCGGGCGACTCGTACTCGCACGAGCTGAACTGATTGTGCTGCATGTTCTTGATGGCGTCGAGTATCCTGAGCCGATGGATACTGTTGGCGATGCCGCACTCGGTCAGCAACTGATCCTCCGAGAGATTGCGTATCGAGTCCTTGTCCACGCCGGCGTTCAGCATGCTGTACGTGTAGATGGAGAACTCCTGGCCGATCGATTGCAGGAAGCTGTTCAGGTTGCCGGTGTCGCGGCTGCTGTAGTCGGCCATCTTCTTCAGATTCTGCAGCTCGCGGGCAAATCTGCGGCGCATGATACCGTTAGTCAGGCCGATATCCTCGCGTAAATTCTCTTCCGTCAGCTGCAGCAGCAGGTCGCCGTCCACTCGACTCTCCACAAAGTTCGGGGCTACGTCGGCGAAGCCGATCTGCTTCACCCATTCTCGTACGTCCTCGGTCGACCATAAGGGCACTTGTTGGCTGAGTTTATGCGGAATTTCCTCGCCGATCAATCTCAAAGCTTGTGCCGCGTACTTGGACGCGATCGCGTTCGGACAGCTCGCTACTTTTTTCAACGGCTCAATCGCGCCGATTGTCCGAAAGATATCGGTGTTGCCCTGTTGCTTCTTGATGCCCGCCTCCATGCAGAAGTGAAAAGCCGCGAGATTGCGCGCCTCCTCTCGCTTCGAGCTCAGAACCGGCACGAGCCTCTCCAGCCAGTTCTTGCTCTGACCGTGTGCGTGCGCCAGGTTTGACTTGGCGAACTCGTAGGGGTTGTGCGACGTAATGAAGGGCTCGACGAGGTCGAGGGTGCCGGATTTGAGGACGGCCGCCTCGATCTCCTTGTTAGCGACTAGCACGGCGATCGCCAGGCAGGCGTAATACTTGATGTTGTCGTCGTTGTGAAAGGCGAGTGGGAACAGCCACATCGGTACCTTGCGCTTGATCATCGCCTCCTGGTTCTCGGCACCTCCGTACAACGACAAGTTCGCCAGCGCGCCCGCACAATGGCGCAGAGTCTCCACGTCGTTCTTCCGGCACTCAAACAGGACCGCGTCCAGACCGCCCAGCCTGATCACGTCGCTGCAGGTGCCCTCGCTGTGCTTGAACAGGTGCTCGAGTATCCCGGTGCCGACGCGCGAGTGATCCACCGAATTGGCGTTCTTCGTGCACACGCACGCTACATTCACCACCTTCTCCAGGCCGTTCTCCACCACGTGGGCGCGATTCTCCGTGGTCAGGCATTGCTCCAGCAATCTGGCCGACGAGAACTGCAGCTCGTGATCGTTCGCCACGCAGTTGGACATGAGCAGATCGAGACCGCCGCGCGTCCTCAGGGTGTTGCACAGGGTGTAGCCCAGCTCGTGGCCGTGCGTAGGCACCGCCCAAGCCTTTCGGATGATCTCGTTCACCCTATTCAACAGCTGCGGCGCTTTACTGCCGCTGTTGCTCTTGCAAGTGTCAGCGCCTACCTTCAGCCGCTCTACGAAGCTGTCGAGCAGGCCGCTGTACTTGGCGATCGCGCAGTCCACGTCCTGCGGATTCGACTTGGAGCACAGCAGGTCCAGGTCGTCCAACGGTAAGGCCAGCAGCTCGTCCTCGGCCGTCGGCGGTCGCATGCCGTTCATAAACTGATTAACCGCGCTCGCCGCGCTAATCATCGATTTGGACGCGCTCACACCCGACTTGGACGCGATCGTGATGCTCGACTGCGAGCTCGAGGCCATGTGCTTCTCGTGGTTGAAGATGCCGGTCGAGGTGACTGTCTGTCGTTGCTGTTGCGCCGCCATCGCTTTCTGCGAAACACAAAAACATGGTCCGTCGATCATTTTCGAGATTGTGAGAAAAATCGCCGAAAAGATCTTAAGAAAAGAAGTCGAGGAAGACAAGCATTTGAACCATGGAATAGGTGTACTTCAGGTAGTTCGAAGAGTATTCTTTTAAATGATCTTCATAATGTTAGCGTGGTATTTAATGTAAAGTAGTAATGAAGGAAGAGAATGTTATTGCGAACATTGGTAAGATTTTTCATTCGTCGGTATCATCAGGTTTGAAAAACATCAGGAATTAAATTTATTAATATTTCTCGCTGAATAATGTTCCCGCTTATGACTTAACGTTTTAAGAGTCTTCTATTTTATATACATAATGAAATTCATCACTAATGCTTTATTCTAATACAATATAAGCGACACATTCTATGTGGACACATCTACTGCGCAATTACAATATCGATGTAAAATTTAAAGATTTGTAATTATAATAATGGAAAAGTTTTTTCCGCCAGTGAATATAAAATAGAATCACAAACTTCAATTGACTATAACTGGCATATTTATTCATAAAAAATCACAACGTTTCGGTTCAGATTCGGACCCTCTTCAGGTGAACTCTTACACAAGCATTCGACAGGCAATTCGTGACAATGTTCCCGCAAGTCAGAAACTGAAGACTAAGCAGAAAAAGAATTTCGTTTTTGTATCGCAATCGTTTAAATATTATAAATAACGAAGAAACTATAAAAGTAAAAAACATAAGCAACTTACATGCTATGTGCGTTGTCAGCAAAATATAATGATGTCAGTAGTCAGTATTGGTAAAATATATTGTAAAAAAGAAAATAATAAGACGTCAAATTAGTATAAAATTAAATGTGTATATAGAGCGTGTCAAGAAGCACGTCCGTATATCACGACTGTGGAGAACACAATGCGTAAGGACATAAATTATTTAAAACACGTGAAGGTTACATGCCTATTATTTTGTCAAAAATTGTTGTTAAGTTATCGGTGTCCTTCTGTAGGTTTATTGCCTGTGTGTGTTTTTTGATGAAAAACATCTCCGCAATCTCTCTTTTCTTAACGTTTTGCTCTCTATGTAGTATTCTCGTTCCCGCCCAATCAAACTCGTGATTAAATTCATTCCGATGTTTGCTTATTACAGAATGATTACCGACGTGCTTCCTAATATCGGTTTTATGTTCTTTAATTCGAGTTTCGAGGTGTCTTTTCGTTTGTCCTATATAAGTAGCATTACAGTCAAGGCAGTCAATTTTATAAACCAATTCGATTTGTTTCATGTAATTAAGTCTATCCTTACCCTTTTTAACAATGTTATTGAGTTTCTTGGGAACAGTGTAAACGACGTCGAACCCACGACTGCATAACATAGCGCGGATACCGTCACTATAATCCTTTATGTAGAGAATAGATATAAAATTTTTTCTGAAGGCATTGTCATCATCACTATTACTATCCTGAGTGGCCACCCGGTATTTAATTTCTTCCAATCGTCGATTAATACATTTATTGCTAAAAATTTCAGGGTAACTGTTGTTGCTAAGAATTTCCTTAACAATATCAATATTGCTACTGTGAAACCTTTGATCAGATAATAAAATCGCGCGATCCACAAGACCTGTCATTACATTTTTTTTAATAGTTTTCCGGGTGGTTGGTTTTATAGTTTCCGAAACGTGATTTTTTGTAATTTTTTATGAATAAATATGCCAGTTATAGTCAATTGAAGTTTGTGATTCTATGTAATTATAATACTCAAATTAATTTAATTAAATAATATTTCTATTTAACATTAATTTAAATAAACGTAAATCAGAGATTTTTAATTAGTATATTGTAAATTTTGTGTTAGTATTCTTCCAACGTAGAAGATTCGTAGTCTTTTAACTTTACGAATAGGTATTCTATATTTATAAATATATAACATTTAATTTTTCCATTTACTTAAACAATGAAACTCAACTTGGAACTACGTAACGACTACTAAATTAACATAGATAGTTTACGCGCACTACACACACAAGTATGAAATATTGATAAAAATCTAATATGTTATTATCTTAATTCTTTAATTCCGCAAATTATTACACTTTATTTACCATTCGCGAGTCGAGGCTACACTTCCTTAGCATCATCCCGAACAAATGCGAGTATGACTCTGACGCTTTTATATATGCCTCAGGCTTCTCGAATCACGCGAATCCACTTTTCGACTGGGGTCCAATCGCGAGCTCGTCAGCGTTTAAATCAACGCTCGTTGCATCGCGGATGCAGAAACGGCGTTAAACAGCGACGCGACCTCGCGTGCCAAAACGCGACGCGGTTCCCCAGCGTCGTTAAGGACAGCGATTTACGATTTAGGCTGTCGGCACGCGAACGTTTTAACGCGCGTTCCTTGGTAGACCGCCAGAAGCGCGAGCGTAAGCCGAGAAAACAGTTCTTCACGCTTTTCCGCGAAGCGGTGAACCACGAGATCGTTACGTCGAGACATTCGATCGGCCGGGAGAATTTTAGAGTTTTTTATATTCCTCGTGACAAAGTCTTTATGAAAAAATAAATGGTGTTCCCTTACCTTCTCGGAGGTAAAAGAGTCGCTCTGAAGCTTCATAGTGGATGCTGCCATGTTATTGCTCTCCTGATGCGAGAGATCGCCAGCCTTCAGGCTTCTCTGCTCCTGAAAAAGAAAAGCACACACTTGATACTTAATCACAGACTTATTCTTCAATCTCGATTATAACAGATTAATATACATATACAGGTATATCAAAATGTATAATTGCTTTTTCATCAGAAAATCACGCAATTAGCCAAGAAGGATTTTCTTATATTCCTTCATTTGTTCTGCGCGAGAAATCATTACCTATATTATACCAATTATTATCGAACATTTACATCACTCTTTATCATATTATCACGTGAGAAAAATCGATGTTTGTTACGGAATAATTACCATCTACTGTTAGAGATTCAGAAAAATAAACATCGTTTTGTAATTGAGACCTGTGAAACTTTTCGTTTTAATTTCGATGCTTTAATTACACCTAATTTTACTTCTTTCGAAAGAAATAAAGAAAATCATCGTGTTCGGTGACGTAAGCTGCGATAAAAATTTGATAGCTCCATGACACCCTGGTATAAACGTTCTCCGTCGCACGTTGCAGGGAATTAGCGCATATTATCGACGGTCCACTTATGACGTATATTCGCTAATTCGCAGTAGCGTAATAGCAGACAGGCGATAGCATCTCGCGTACCGAGAGAGTACAACTGTTGCACTGTGCTCGAAATGATGCGATTTTTTTCGGTGTTCTGACACGCAGCCACAACACGCACTTCGCGAGCAATAACGCATAATGACAGATACGCACTTCTGACATTCTAATCTTTCATCCAACGGTTACTCATCCTGATCGAATAGCGCGAGGAATCGAGAAATTGCGAGAATATTACACCCGCAAAAATTTATTTATAGCACATGTATATAAATATATCGTGAAAAAGAAGAAAATGTGTAACGATTCTACAGTCCTATATCGTTTTAAATATTTAATATTTCATTATTTAAACAGTTTTGCTATTAAATTAAATTAAATTAGTATCACAGAAAAAATGATGAATACGTATATAAAGTCATTCAAAAAATATTTTGTTATAAAAATCCGATAATATCAAAATATTTAATCATTAAAAAGATTATCGTCATGTTACATTCATTTTTTAATCTGTCATACTTAAAAAAAGAATACTTTATCGTTGCAGAAAGAGAGAGAGAGAGAGAAGAGAGAAGAAATGAGAAGGGGAGTACTTTGATCTGAATAATTATAATGTTTAATCGCGATCAAACGGATTTCTGATATAAATAGGCGTCAAGCATCCAATTACACTAAATAGTATTAAATACCCGATATCGACGTCTCGTTTTTATCACTATATCACCGCTCCTCTCTCCAAATATTGGAAAACACAACGGTACTTTCCCCCTCGAGACTTCGCGATACAATGATCGGCATTGTAGGAAGTGGGAAGGCTCGTCGATCCCGCTCGTTTTGTCTCCTCGCCGGCGCCGTCCTCTTCTCTCCTCGTCCGATTCTCTTCCGACGTATTTCTCTAAATATAATTCGAGCGTGTCGTCACAGCCTGTTACGCGACGCAATTTTACTGCCACATCGATACTACTATCTGCCACCTTGCTTTGCAATTCATGACGTTCGATGATAATACCGAATGAATGTATTAACGGATGAGAAGAATATTGTCTCGAATTGTCGCGAAAATCGATCTACGGAGCGCACAGTCGATTGTGAGTAATATGGAATTAACAGAACAATTAATTATATCCGTAATCTTTGTATCATATTAATATATTAAATTTAAATATATTTCATACTGAAATTGTTTTCAAGATAGGCTTTATTTATTAGCTTCTAAAAGCACGATTTATTTTCCGAGTTCGAGCAACAAGATCGATTTTTTATAAGTTCAATTTTTTTCGATAATACTGCTCTTTTCCTACATCCCTGTCTCAATAATTCTCAATTCCGTATATGTATCTTCTTTTTATTTTTTTTCTCGTGGCGTATTTGCACGCATATTTCTTCGAGCAACTTCCCGCTTACGAATGACAAACACTCACAATCGTGCAAGGCCAGCTTTACTTTATTCTTAGATCGGTCGCGTGCGGTATTTTGAAAAATTGCAAAAGACGTGAACAAACGCTCGATTTTAAATACGTGGCATTCCACATGTGGTTCGCCAGCGGATGTTTTCAGAGGTATTTACGTCAACGATGAGCGTGGTTTCATATATTCTCCTTAAAATGTTCGACTTCACGGAATCATTTAACAAAGCTACTGGCTTATTATGAGTAATTTATCAAAAATATTATTGGACGCAAACAAAAGAGAAATTTATGAATCGAAACTTTCTCACGACTTACCACACGCGATTGTCCGAACCGTTTTCGGTGCAATATTCCACGATGTATCGGCCACGGTGCGCTCATATTTCAACTGAGATTCACATCACTCTTTTAATAAAAAAATCGATAACGATAATTATTTTTCTCAATTACAAAATAAATAACGAGGATCGAAATAAATATTCTCGTAGAGAGTAATTCATAATTTATAAAAAAAATCCGGAAGGAATTAAAGTATAATTGCCAACAATTTAAGCAAAATTATTTTCAAACATTCTTTAATCAAGTTATTAATTAATAACATTCAATAATCAATCAATTCCTAATAAAAAAATATCTTTTATTATAATCCTCGTTAAATTATTCCAAATTATTTTTAATTAATCTCGACAAAATTATTTTCAGTTGTCTCTTGAATCAAATCATTTTCAAGCATTCTCGACAGAATTACTTTCTTGTAATTTTTACTTGTAACTAATCTCACACTTATCACGTACATTCAACGACTAACTGCACTACAAGACTGACATTCAAAATTTGTCTGACAGCTATCGAACTATATAATTGTATAGTAAATAAAACGTTTCCAATCGAGTCGCAGAAAGTACGAGAGCTTTAGATAGATCACCGAGTGTGATGGCAGCGCGACGTAAACTAATCTGGACTGTGCTTAAGTGTGATTCACCACTCGACGAGAGAGTTTAATTTCGTTACGCATGAAGCACAGAGAGGGAGAGAGAAAGAGAGGGAGAGAGGGAGAGAGGGAAAAAGGGAGAGAAATGCATTTCCGCACGTCAATCGCGTAATCGGTGCAGCGGCTTTTTAACAGCGGGTTCCACCGTTGCTGGCTATTTTTCGACTAGTCTAGAAATAGTTCACGAGAACGAATCATTCTCGCGAATGACTCGGTCGCTTTCGAATTCGTATACTCGCGAACGGGGACGGCACTAAACACGAATTTTGATACCTCGATCGTGATTTTAACGATCACGCCTGCATTCTCAGCGAAAAGTCATCGCGAACGCGACTTGTGATTAGATACATTGCAGATATTACGGTAGAATAAATCGTAATTACAACATTTGTTTCACCGTGCATATGGAATGTATTTCCATAATTAGATTGATATAATCGTTCAATTAACGTAATTGTAAATCTGTAATAATTTCGCGATCATTAATCAAAGTACTTTTAGGTACAACTATTAGGTAATACTATATTAGGTAATAGTATAATTGTGTTCATTATCTTTTACGTGAGTAACAATGATAAAGTGCATGACTTTTCTCAGTTTATATAACATTTGACGTACGAGTTAAAAATGCGGCATACATTTCTTGTTTTTATATTAAATCATTAAATAGCTGGAATTCGATATGTTATCGCATCGATATATCAAAGTTGGATGATCGACTCCGCTTTGTTCTCAAGAATAACGAGGCAAAAGTCGAGGTCAAAGTCTTTCGCGATTATATAATATATACGATAAATCTATAAATACCACCACTCCATTACTCCACAAATTAACTTCATCATCGTAAACTCGATAGCAAACCGAATTTCCAATAAAGAGACACCGCCACTCGTATTGTAATCTTACGGCTGATTTTGCCGCGAATGCGCAAAGCGCTTATCAATCTCTTATCATTCACGTCACTCTTATCGCTCGATTCGACGACGTCGATCTATATTTTTCCCCTCCCCCCCGGAAAAACCCTCGCGTGTCTCTGGCGACGCGTCCTTGAAATCATGGCGTCGCGGTCGACTAATTATTTAACTACCGCGAACGCTCGCTTTATTTCGGTTACGTCTCCCGACTAAGTATCGGTGACACTTAACAGTATATTTGTAATCGCCGTCTTTTGGCACGTCTTCCGACCTCTCACCGAAATCTGAACGATGATCTCACGTCGCGCGTTACGTCGAATCGCGTCGCTGAATGAAACAGCAAACCAAACAACAACTCTGTCATCGCCGGCAAGATGGACTCTATTTTAACGTCTTTTGCTGTTCCGCACACCGCACGTCTCGGAAACTCGGAACAATCCCGAACCTAATAGCACCGCGCTTCAAGACAGCTCGAAGCTAGTCTGGCGCGAGAACTGCAACGGATCTCGTCTCTCCTCTCGTATTAATTGCGAAACGAAAGAAGAGAGACCACTTCGCGCGATCCAACAGCGAGAAAGACTATCTATTATATTCACGACCTGAAGGTCGAAAAGTAGGACGTTTGATTTCGAGGATCGAGATCGTCGTTACCATTTGCGAGGCGATATGGTCTCCCAAGATCCGAGGACGAGGATGGTCACTCCGCATCGTGTCGCTATGGGGCCTCGGACCCGGGAAAAGGCCCCCCCGCGTCAGCAGCCTCGATAATTGCTGTCCCATACAACATTCAAGCAACTAACCGACTGACCGACCTACCGACGGACTGACAACCAGCAATGTCGCGAACAAACTGCTCCTTCGCGGGGGTAGCGGATTATCGACCCGGGGGGTTGTGACGAGAGGCCACTTTCGCACTCGGTCATCCCCGTGACTACCATTTCCCCCTTCTCCACGGTTTTGCTATGGAAACCAGGGCGATGTCTTCGCGAAAGTAGAAAAAGAAGTAGGAAAATGTAAATAATCTTCAAAACAAGCTTTGGTTTTGGTAAGGATAGTTCGAATTCTTTGCGCCTTTGGACAAAATAGTTTGGACAAAACAATTATCTTGAAGAATTTACCTTCTCCTTCTATTCTTTGATGAGGTCTTTGTCTAATTACATTAATTCAGTTAGAATTTTCAATTTTTGAAAAACGCATGCTTACTTCAAAATGTAACACGAAGTTTCTAACAACTGATATTGCGATATCGTTTTTAAACCGATCTTGTCTTTAAATTTTGAATAGACCACATGTTAAACGATCACCATTTATCTTAATTTCACGAAGTTAGATTTTACAAACGTCATGTTGCAGTTCTAGGAATTACTCTCGTTGCTGTAAGTGGGAAATCCTTCTTTAGTTGTTCTACTGTTCAAGTCGCATGTTGACGCGCAATCTCCAACATGAGTTACATAACAAGGTACTAACACAGTACAGTGAGATATAGATATACGAGTGTACACAAATTTTATGTAAATTTAAATTTTTAGACTTTTTTATGTTCTTCGCGGCAAATAAATTATCTTGCAGGCTGCCAAAAGCTTTAAAAATACTCAAAAGACGAATAACTGTAAAGAAAAAACTTATTATTATAATTGACAAAGTTATTAATTGACGAATCTTTTTATCAACAAGCAGGCTTATAGAATATCATGCCTGTTTGCTCCAACAATGAGAGAACATCGAAGACGTTGTTCTTCACTCAAGTCTGGCGGCATCTGTCGGGAAAGCTTTCAAACCGCGAATCGTGTAGAGATAAGTCAAAGTGTAACGAGACGTATTGTGTGCTTTTATCAGGCATGTATACAGGGTGTTCCTCATTTTAATTTATTACGCGCGCGTGATCGTATACAATTCGCGGCAAATTGCCTCTGAAACATAAATGGCTCTCGCAAGACATGTCTAGCTGATTGTTATTTGAAATTTCGCGTAATTTTGCAAATTAGACGGAGAGATGACTCGTGACAAGATTGCGAAGCGTACGAGAGAACTGATTCGCGTACTGACACAGGCGTCGCAAGGCCGACACGTGGGGTCAAGGACAACGTGGCGCGTAAAAAAAAGAGGAGAAATAATGACCGTACACTGCACCCACGAACGAAGTAGCACGCAACCGTCCGCGATTTTCGAGTCGAGAGAGTTCGCATCTTTTTGTTCCACGATATGATTCATTTTCTTTCCGAGCCACAGTCGGGCTTTTTTGCTGCCGGTCGAATCTACCTACGCGATTCACGCGAAGATGCGATCAACGAAGAAACGTTCGTGCGTTTGGAAGATTAATTATTTCTTTTTTGTAATCAAAATAATGCAAAATGTGGTATTTGGAAAATTATATATTTTTTGTGACTGCACATTAATGTGGATTAAAAATGAAAGTAATGCACGATGTGTGGAATATGCGCGACCTGAAGATTTGAATTGTTTAAACGATGAGATAAAGGTAACATAGAATATGTAATTTAGGAGATAGTTTCAACATTGCTTTCATTTTAAAATAGTTCAGAATGTATATAAATGTATAAAGTATCAACAATTTTTATGTAATAAAAAAACCTTATAAAATACAGTACTTGTGATCTTTTGAACTCGATATAAACATAAAGATATTCTATTTTTGTTCAAAAAGAATTTTATTTAAATCTTAGTAAAATTTCAATAGTTTAGAATTTAAAATTTAAGTTACGTATCTAATTGTACAGTCTAAGACATACATACATATACTATATGTACATAATTAACAAAATAGTTTTTAGTTAGAATACTGAATAAGTATTACATCCCTTAATACACTGAGAAAAAAAAATCGTAGATTCAAAGAAATATTATTTGATTCAACTAAATGCAGCGGTCACGGGCTGTCAAGCTAACATTTGTTAATTCAAAAAATATTATATTTAAATAGATTCAGAATTTCTTGATATTACTCACGTATATTTGATTTAAATATATTAATATTTGCATTAAACAAATCACTGCAACTAAACGAGTTAGTTAGTCAAATTTACAACATTTTTTTCTCAGTGTATGCATACGTGGGTCTACGGCGTCCAAGCCAAAATGATATCTGCTCGTAACTGTAAAACTTGCAAGCCTGTCAGAAAATATTATATAAACAAAGTTTATCAAAATAACTATAAATTCGTCAACTACATTGTAGACAGATGTTTCATAAATTTTTTCAGATTTTTTAAAATATTCTAAGGTAGGGAAAAATAGTGTCGAACGTGACAGACCCACGTGTGCACTTATTAGAAGGTACCGAAAAAAGGTATGCACATTAAGAGGGATATATATACCACATTAATAATTTTCAATAATCATTTTTTCCAAATTTAAAAGTACGATTATTTCCTGTTACAGTTCTTTCGTTTTTTATTTTTTATTCATAGAGAAAGATCACGAGTACCTAGATCTGTGGGATGAATTCTGCACCTCAGAGTCGTGGAAGCTCGATTCTACCGGGTGACCCGTATTGCGCGTGGAAGGAGCTTTCGTTTCGTGATTATTTACGCCTGGCGGCGTGTCGTCATCTAAATTTAGACGAATTCAGCTAGGTCGGCTACTACGTGACTCTTGAGTCAGCAGCATGCGAATTTCTGAACGCAAGCCAAAGACGACTCCTCGTGTCGAACGACACGTCGTCTCACGATTACACGAGACCGTCCCGCGAAGCTATCCGCCTGTCGCGATGTCCGTTCGTACGTATACCTCGCGCGGTAGCGCGCGCCTCTTTTGCGAAATCACTGCCTTGGCCGATAGTCAAGGCCGTGATTGCGGCCGTTATTGAATGAGAAATCGCAACTCTTCGACTCACGTTACTCAGCGAAAATGTTATGCGATTTCTGCAAGGTGAAGATGCGCCACGAGTCACATTCGAGTGCAACTTGACTTACTTGATTTCTCGTTTATCGTTGTATTTAAATCCAGCTCAAATAAAATTACCAGTTGGACGATATGACATTTTTTTCATTTGTAAAAAATGTGTATGTTTCATTTCTCTTCTTATTTCTTTTATAAAAAATCTACACACTTAAATACCAGACACAACCAAGATATCGTCGTATCTATAATTGAACTCTCCTTTAACAAACTCTCTAAATATCATAGAGTGCTTTCGCTACTAATATATTAGAGCGCGATAGTCACTCCAAAAGAGAGTTGTAACTAATTTGAATAAATGCGGGCATTCATAAGATAGGAGTAAATTTTTCACTAATATATTAGAGCGCGATAGAAATTTTTAGAGCAGCTACTTTATCGGAGTGACACGATCTCACTCTAAAGCTATAGTGAATCATGATTCACTAAAGATCGACTGATAAATGACTCTAAAAAAATGAAATTTTCACTCGAAATTGTAAAGTGACATAATTCACTCCTATATGGATAGTGATTTACTGCACTCAAAAAGAGTGCCCTTTCACGCAAATGGAGTGCGACTTTACTCTAACTTATAGAGCGATTTCATTCTTTCTTAGAGTAGCGAAGTGCATAAGGCTCAGTTTTCACTTTTCGTTACACTTGCATTTTACTCGTTTTAAATGATATTTCACTCTTCGACTTTTAGAGAGAAGCTATCAAATTAAATATTTCTATCGAGTCACAAAGATGTACTCAGAAATCGTTTCAACGGGATACAACAATCGATTTAATCGCAAAATCCGCATGTTAATTTCGTCGATTGTAATTTTGTCACGCGAGAAAAAATTTCGACGTCTTAAAATCTTGATGGAGTTCAGATAAACGCGTTCCCATAAGTTTCGCCTTCATTCGTCGAAGATTCTCGTTAGTCGTTTTAGAAACCACAGGGATAAATCGAGAGACTATTCGCGATGCACAACGCGCAGTTTCCATTTTAGCGCGCAACAAGGTACCCTCCCGGTACCGTTGTGGAAAACGCAACGTACGCACGTGTCAACGACCTCCGGCAATCGCGCCTTTACTCGCGCGGCTTTCCACACGCGAACCTCGTGCCAAATTATTCGGCCGCGCCCACAGAGAGTCTTCCTCTCGGTCCTTTTGTTATCCAAACGAGAAAGGTCAGGCTTACGGAGAGCGAGAGCGCCTCGACGGCCCATCGAGGAGAGTCTTCGTCCACCCACGTTCCGACTTTTAATTCGGACCGCCGCATTATTTACGAACGCGCGGGTCTTTGACCACAAGAGGAATCGTAATGCACAGCTCTACCATGACACCGATCGCGTCTGTACTCACGCCGCGCCGGGCCGGAAGTAATAAGCACGGAGAGCCATATAGTTTTACACAATTGTGGCTTTCTCAGCGAGTGCGTTTTCTGATGTTTATTTGCAACGGGATAAAATTGATTTTTCTTGCTCTTTTTATATCGGTTATTTTCTATCTATATGTCATTTTAATATTTACCTATATTTTTATATTAATTTCCATTACCTCTCTGCATTTTTTTTTTTTTTTTTTACATACTTTTCGTACTCTCTAAACTCATAGAGTGGTTTCGCCGCTAATATATTAAAGTGATTGCGATAGTCAGTTAAAAAAAAAGAGTTGTTACTCTTATTTGAGTTAATGAGGACACTCATAAGGTAAGAGTAAATTTTTCACTCAAATTTTTAGAGCGGCTACTCTACCGGATCTCACTCTAAAGCTATAATGTCGATTCAATAAAGATCGACTGATAAATGACTCTAACAGTAAAATTTTCCCTCTTCGTTACACTTGCATTTCACTAGTTTTGAGTGACATTTCACTCTTTAATTTTTAGAAAGTACAAACGCTGTATTTCTTTTATTAAGCATTATACAACAATGATATTCCAGCGTGATGCTCCAGGAACGTTTAATGGAGCATCCTTTCATTTATTCAAGTATAAATATCACTCACCCTCGCAGCAGCGACGCTCTTCTCCGCCGAGACACCGTCCAGCTCGACGCGCGCCCTCGCCGCCGTTGCGGCGCTCTGCTCCTTGTACGAGACATCGCCAGCTTGCAGAGCCCTCATCTCTGCACTGTTCGCCGTTGCTTTCTCGGCGCTAAATCCATCTGTGACGACCTGATAACAAAAGTAAAAAATGATTCGATTATTAGACGCGAGGGTAGAGTAAAAGCCGGCAAATCAATCTGAAATATCGTGATGCACGACGCCAAGTCTCGACGCTTTCCCGCGCACGATATCCAAAGGATAGGACTCGCAGTCCTTGACCTAGACTACCTGGAGGAAGCCGCACCTCGGTCGCCAGCCATTCGCTACGCTTAAACATTATCGCTGATGTTCGCAATGTGTAACGTTTATCGAACGCCGCGATTCGCTCGACAAATCCGAGCTAAATCAATCGCAATTCTTATCAAATACGTATTTTTAGATACGCGTTATTTTGCGGGCAGCCTCGCTGAATAGCTCGGCGAGGTCACGTGCTGATAACGTGCGCAAGATCGACTCCGTTTTCAAATTCATTGAAATTCAGTATCACAACACAGTAAAAAATAATACGTAATTTTAATATTTTTTACATGTCCCAGAAAGTCCGCTCTAAATTTTAAGTTAAAATAACTCATTTATCGTGTGTTAATTGTTGACAAATTAGAAATGTTAATAAATTGACATTATACTTTACATTTATTTAATTTTAAGTTAAAATGACTCATTCATCGTGTGTTACTTGTTGACAAATTAGAAATGTTAATAAATTGACATTATACTTTACATTTATATTCGTTCTTTTGACTTTATTTCTCAACTTATATTAACACATAATATTAATTTTTTTACAGATTTTACTTAAATTATGTGTAATAGAGACAGTTAATTTTAGTAAATTTAATTATTTTGTGTGTCAAAGTTTACGATTATTTGAAAATTTACTTTAATTTTTATTTATGTGTTAAAAAAACTTTAAGACGTGTTGATTTTTTAAAGTAATTGTGTTAAAAGAACTCAAAATAATATTTAATTTCTGAATGACATATATAAAGTGTTAAGTTATCACGTTGACATAAATGTAACACATGAAAATGTTAAGAAAATAATAACATAGCTGTTGTATGTTAATTTTACATTGAAATAATAATCAAATCTTGGTAACACAAGAAAATTTTAACATATGGACCGCTATGTACACACAATTTTTTTACTGTGAATAAACTGATAAACATTTTATATCTTGTTGTAATTATTATTTTCATGTATCATATTTTATCTTCATTTTATTAGTATATTTTTCTACATGATTCTTGATATCATTTTTTAAACAAAACTTTCAAAATTGTTCCTTATATCGATATGAGTATCATAATTATTATTTCTATTTACCATAAAAATAATAATTACGATACTCATATCGAAAAAAATCATATTCGCGGGATTTTATTTATACCGCGATTACTATCGTATTATTTATTAATTATTCCTAATAATGTAATAATAAATGTAAAATCTTGACAATTATTAGTATATAAGTGCTAATCGAAGGATGCCAAAGATATATGAAGACAAGGAAAGCATTGCTCACCTTTGTTTTCGAGGCGCTGGTCATTTTCTTCTGTTCGAACTTCATAGTTTCCTGACCGGTAGGTAAGTTTGCCATGTTCGGTATGTTTATCGGCGGACTTATGCTGTGATGAAGATTGTTCAGCGAATTCAGGGAACTCAACTGGGACGGAGAACCGCCTGCCAACGTGACAGCATCGGTGACAGGTGGCGGCGTGTCTGGATCCGGAAACGTCACCAACGGCTCCGTGAGATCGGTCTCTTCTGGTCCACTGCCATCTCTGCAGAATCGACAAAAAGAATTCATGAACTATAATGCCTTTAATTTCTGATATATTTTTATTTCCAGAGATTTCGGTTAAAATTGAACGTGAGTGAATGACTGACAATATTTTATTACATTCCAAGATAAAATCCTTTCTGATTAAAAATGAAAAAAAATATAGGTGATAATTATAATAATTATATGAAATAAAAATTAAATTAAATTAGATAAAATAGATTGAAAAATAAACTTATATAATATATATCCCCTTTTCCCCGAATATATAAAAAAAAAAGATTTACAGAACAAAAAGTAAGATACTATGTTACGCAAATTTTAAATATTTTGAAAATTATAATATATTTCTGATTTCTTGAAAAATAAGAAAGACACACATATTTTTTTTTTATTTGCAAAAGCTGATTTTCTTTAAAAAAAAAAGGCTTCAAACAAAAGAATTTCGTTCTCTATTTCATTATCAATTTTTGCATGTAGAATAATTATCTCTCTACTTGTATCAATTTGAACCATTAATAATGGATGCGCTTATAAAAGCGCTTCGCCGATGAAAAATGCTTATCATACAATAGTATAAAAAAATTCATAGCGAGCAGTTCAAAACATTTTAATGCTAGTTTTATACAGATTAACAAATTAATACATGCGTACATTGTTCTTTATCCATGTTTCCGCTGTGATAAAACACATAACGGGACAATATTAATATTGATTTGTGTTAGTCAGTTACTTAATTACATCCCAGGGACCCATATTGCAAGCTTCCCATGTTTCGATGTAAGGTCTTTGCGACTTGGAAATTCTCAACCTCTCGAAGTACGTATCGACAATTTCTTAGTTTTTTAACTATTTAATAGAGACTTTTGAATTGCGGAATCAATTTCTTAAGCGTTTCTGGTGTATATATCTTCGAAGTTTCGTACCCTTGCGTAGTCTCCTATCTTATAATTATATAATTTCTTACGCTTTTTATCGAAATAAGCTTTGTAACTTTGTGACTTTTCAATGTTCTCTTTATAGCCTTTGCTTTCATTTGTTCTAGATCGCAATTTTTGTTATTCGTATATCAATTCGTTCTAAATACTCAACTATTACAACCACTATAATCGCAACAAAATATTATCTTTCATTTCAAAGTATGTACTTTGTCGTTTTATGCAAAACGACACGTGAGCAATGTGTTAAAAATAATCTGACCGCCGCGAAAATAGCATGCAAATTGAAATTATGCGTTATACACAAATATTCGCTGTTGACGCGCTTTAGAGCTTTCAGTTGTGAAAGCTTTAGTTAGCGAACCCTAAACGGGAGTCTGAATTTTTAGAAATCGAACAAAATGAATTACTGAGCTTTTAGTAACTGAAAGTTAAAGAAGTAACTGAAAATCGATAAATCTCCAAATTTTTACGAGAAGATGGGGGAGAGGGGGGTAAATGATTCTTTAAATTATTACTAACAATTAAAGTGATTAAAGCTTTCAAATTTTTGATTAATTCGGTTAAGACGAATTCTTGGTCACCAATTATTATTTCAATGCTTCACTTTTATAACAAAAATGTTATCATTTGATGCTTTACATTCTAACGAAACCTTACAAAAATAAAAAACATTGAAATAATCTATCATTTAACATAATCCAAAAGTAAAGATATGTTTTTATAAATTATTATGTAGATAGTATAGAATTTTAAAATATAACTGCGTAAAACAGCCAAGGAACACGTTGCAATAGTGACATTAGATTCGTCACGCTGGCAAACTCGAAGATACTCTAAAAATACCAATCATTTCTACGAGAAAAGCACGCGAAATGGACACGTCGTTTTTACGAAACACTTATGTTGCATATATTCGTTAAAAACTCCTTCAAGAACGTCAGATTTTCCCACAATGAACACTGTTTCATCAACAATCCAAAGAGTCGTTGTGTATTATATGTGTATATAGTGTGTATATAGTTGTGTATATAGTTCGAGAATATATATATTAGGTCTTATCTCTCAAGGTTTCTTTCAAAGATTAGATCTATCCCCGGAGTTCAATTTATTTGAGAATAAACTCACCTGTCCACGAGGTTCTCCATGCTGCTGCGCAGCCGTTGTGAAAAGTTGGTCGAGATGTTCTTCATCTCCGAGATGCCGCGCTTGAGCTCCGTCAGGTCGCTCTTCATGGAGCTCGCCTTCATCTCACTCGACGAGGACGAGGTGAGAATCCTCTGCGAGGACTTGGCCACCCGGCTGCTCGTGCTGCTGCTGCTAGTGCTGGTACTGGTGCTGCTACTACTCTGGTGTTGGCTCTGATTTGTCGTCAGCATCTGCCGAGCCAAAAGCCGTTTTCGTTCTATTTAAGATCCGTGTAAGATGATTCACTCGCTTCGAACCTCCCACCCGAATTCTATCTCTATCTCCGTTTCCTCTTTTCTGTGTCTTTCTATTAGATATACCTAGTTTGTCATATAGTCAGTTTATTAAGTTTCTAGTTTATTTATTAAGTTTCTAGATTTTGTTTTAAATATTTTTTAAGGACAATCTCACAATCAGACTTCTTTTTCTCTTTCTCTCTTTTGCATTTATATCATATATCTATTATACCTTTTATTTTTTATACAAAATAAATCAAAAAAATTTGTTCAATTTTTTTATTATTGTAAGTTATATAGCTAGAAAGAATAAATTTTCTTATCGGCCTAACATTCAGATAAATATAAAATTTCTTATAAATAAAAACCACATAATATATTTTTTATATGCAGGTGATTTATCTTATCCCATACCTATTCCGCTTTTTTTTATTAACTGTTTTAATAATATAATTAATATTTTTTCGTCGTTAACTCAATTCGACAAACGCGATAAGATTTTTACATCAACCTTTTTATTTTACAAACCAAAGTCAGACGATTCGCCTCGTAAAAATGAGAAATACGGTTCAACTGAACGATTCTTCGAGAGAGCAAATGAGAAAGATGTTGAAATTGACATGTTCAAGACGCTTAGTTATTGGTTGGACTCAGATTAGAGTACGTTTTCATGCACTTTTATTTTTCTTCTGATTGGTAGACCTGAGCATACGAGCGTGCGAAGTGGATCGCTGTCTCTTAGTTTTTTGGTTAAAAGTCGCAAGTAAGCCCGCTCACGCAGTTCACGTAGAATTCTTCAGTTATTCACGAGTGTATCTTATTGTTTATACTAAAATATATATGTATATGCTTTTCCAACAAACAAAGCCTATCAAGTTCTTTTCCATCAGATTATGAGACTTAAGCGCTGTTCGTCTCGTCGGTGCGAACTGTGTTGAGGTTAAGAGAGAGAGAGACGATACAGTGAGTGTTCGTAAAGAACAAGCGTATTTGTTTCCGTGGTTATCTGAAGAAACAATGGCAGAAGAAAGTTTTAGTCGAGAAATTCGAGTGACGAAGCTTTATTCAAAGGCATCATACAACCGCTGGAAGATTGAGATTCGGGATGCGTTAGAAAGTCACCGAATATGGGAAATCGCCAGTGGAATTGCAGACAAACCACGAGAGATAAGAGATGCGACTGACACCACAACGAATAGGAAAGAAATAGAAGAATGGAAAGCGAAAGATAGTAAAGCTCGTTCGATCATTCGGTCAACGCTAGATGATACGACATTTGATCAAGTATGTGATTGTGAATCGTCAGCGGACATTTTAAAAAGAATTAAAGCTATTAATGAACCGAAAACATTAAATGTTCTTTTGGAATTACTGCGTGAATTCTTTAGTTACTCATGGAAACCGGATAGTACGGTCGGTACGTTCGTAGCAGGGCTTAAGGTTATCGCTCGTCGAATCGAAGCGTTAGAATCTGACGACTTTGGAAGAAATTTCAATGAAAAACTCATGATGGCAAAAATCCTTGGCTGTCTACCAAAAGAATTTGATAATTTCGTCACAAGCTGGTCACTTTTATCAGAAGATATATCACTGGAATCTTTTCTGGAAAAGCTCACGAATGTGGAGAGAAGCATTACTGAGCGTTCAGTTGACACATCGCGTGAAGTTTTTAAGGCTCAATCGAAACCAGGAAGTAATCAAGCAAAGAAGACGATAAACAAGAGATTTCAAGGAAAATGTCACAAGTGTGGCAAAAAGGGACACTTGCAAAAAGATTGTTGGTCGAAGTTGGAGAAATCGGCGTCATCTGAAGAAAGAAGACAAATGAGAAATCAAAGGATCAAAAAAAAGAAACTGGTCTGTCAGTATCGTCAGCCTTCAAGATAAACGAAGAAAATAAAATTCTTGCAGATTCGGGAGCAAGCGTTCATTTGACAGGAAACATGGAATGGTTTTCGTCGTTACGTAAGCTCAATACACCGTTGATATTAAATGTCGCAAATGGTAAATCTTTACAGGCAACCCATATAGGCAACATCGCTGTTGAAAAATCAAATGATGGCAAGAGATGGGAGAAACGTACGTGGGAAAATGTGTATTATGCAAAAGAGATGGGCGCTGCATCCTTATTTTCGACAACGTTCATGGAAATAAATAAAAGATATAGTTTTTATCACGGAAATGGAATCATGCGATTAAGTAAGGGGCGACAAACCATGATAGGTGGAGAAAGGATTGGAAATCAATACATTCCTTATATTCGAGTCAAGCCACCATTGATTTCTGCAAATGTAGCTCGGTCAGTTGGATTATGGCATCAACGATTGGGACACGTAAGTGATACAGTAATACGAGCAATGTATAAAAATGATTTAACAGAAGGTCTTGAAGTAACTTTTTCAGATAAGAACGATTGTGAATCGTGTCATTATGGTAAGCAAACAATAAGTCGACATCCCAATCGAGAAAAGCGAGATTGTTTGCCTGGCCAACGATTTCATTCTGACGTGTGCCATATCGGAGTGGTGTCATGGAATAAATGCAGATATTTCCTCACGATGAAAGACGAAGCATCTGGATATCGCCGAGTTTTCTTCATGAAGACGAAGGATGAGGTGTCAAGTATATTAAAGCAGTTCTTCATCGACGCGGAGAGAGAAACAGGAAGAAAGGCAATTTCTCTGAGGACGGACAATGGAACAGAGTACGTCAATGAAAACGTAAGAGAAGTTCTTAAGTCAATGGGCATTATTCATGAACTGTCACCACCAAATGTCAAACAATGTAATGGAATGGCAGAACGGGAAAATAGAACTTTATGTGATACTGCTCGATCCATGCTGTTTAATACCAATTTATCAAGAACGGATTGTCATCTACTCTGGACGGAAGCTATTGGCACGGCAGCATATCTAAGAAATCGAGTTCCGAATCGAGGAATATTGAACACAACGCCATATAGCGAATGGTATGGTAGAAAGCCTGATGTTTCTCATTTAAGAGTCTTTGGTGCAAAGGCTTTTGTACATATTCCAAATACGATGAGACGGAAAATGGATCCGAAGTCAAGAAAAGCAATCTTTGTCGGATACGATCGTTTAACCGATAAAGTATATCGAGTTTTTGATCCTGTCAAAAAGATTGTAGAAAGAGTCTCTGATGTCGTGATTCAGGACGAAATGGACAGGGATCAAGTTTTATTTCCCATACCAGCTGATGAACCAGAGGAGGTATATGAAGAACCGTCAATTGCAGAAAAGGATGAAGATGAAACAAACGTGGATGATGATTCGGAGCAGAAAATAGACAACGCCGATGAAGAAACAGGATCAAGAGAGAAAAAGAAAGGACGACCAGTAGGTTCGAAGAATTTCCAGAAACCAGTACCTGCGACGGATAGAGAACTAAGAAGTAAATCAAATAAATCAGCATACATAGCTGCGATGAAAGTATCAATGGATCCAGTCTCGTATGAAGATGCAATAAGTAGAGAAGATGCACATCTTTGGAAGAAAGCCATGGATGAAGAGATGTCGTCATTGAGCAAGAATCAAGCATGGGAATTGGAAGAATTGCCGAAGGATCGGTCTGCGGTCTCGTGTAAATGGGTTTTTAAATCCAAATTGAAACCTAATGGAGTTATTGAGCGCTACAAAGCAAGGTTAGTTGCTCGAGGTTTTAACCAAACGAAAGGAGTTGACTATTTTGAAACATTCTCTCCTGTAGTGCGTTACGAGTCCGTAAGAACCGTTTTAGCAATAGCAGCTAAATTTGATATGGATATCGTACAATTCGATATTAAAACGGCATTCCTCAACGGTCCACTTGAAGAAAGCATCTACATGCATCAACCAGAGGGGTATGAAGATGGAACAAATCGAGTTTGTCGTCTGAAGATAAGCCTGTATGGACTTAAACAGGCATCTAGAAACTGGAATGACACTTTCAATGATTTTGCGGCAGAATATGGTTTAATACAGTCGGATTCAGATCCATGCATTTTTATGAAAAATGAAGATACAGATGAATGGATGATTCTATGTCTGTTCGTTGATGATGGACTGATAGCCTGTAAAAGGAAGAAATCACTGGAGTTTTTCATTTCCGCGTTAAAAAGGAAATTTGAAATTACTTGTGGTGAGCCATCTTGTTACGTTGGCATGGAGATTAAGCGGGATAGAAAAATGAAAACTATCAGCATTAATCAACAAGGGTACATATCTCGAGTGTTACGTCGTTTTGGCATGGAAGATTGCAAAACGGTGTCATCACCAGTGAATAGTTCAATCAATCTGTCAGAGCTGAAAGAAGAAGAAGCCGTCACTGAGAAGAGATACCCCTATCGAGAGGCAATTGGATGTCTGAACTATATTGCTCAAATATCAAGACCGGATATTGCTTATATAGTGGGCAAACTTGCTCGATTTGCGAACAACCCATCAGATATACATTGGAGAGCAACTAAGCAAGTTATGAGGTATTTAAAAGGAACAATTAACCTCTCATTATGTTATAACGGAAAAACGCAAGATAAGTTAATAGGATATTGCGATTCCGATTATGCTGGAGATCCAGTGGCGAGGAAGTCGACTTCTGGATACATCTTTATGCAGTATGGTGGACCGATAGCATGGTCATCAAGCTTACAGAGGGTCACGGCGCTCTCATCATCAGAGGCTGAATACATGTCTATGGCAGAAGCGTTAAAAGAACTCTTGTGGTTGCGGTCACTTCTGAAATCCCTTGGCCTGGAGCAAGAGAAGGAGACAGAGCTGAAGGTAGACAATCAAGCAGCAATAGCCTTATCAAAAAACCCAGAGTTTCACAAGAGGAGTAAACATATAGGAGTACGTTTTCACCGTATCAGACAAGAGCAAGAGGCTGGAAACGTAATAGTCACCTACATACCTACGGATGAGCAGGTAGCTGACCTGTTAACAAAAGGATTACCATGGGCGAAGATCTCAGGTCACTTAAAGACTTTAAGGATGACGTCATGAACAAGAGGAGGTGTTGAAATTGACATGTTCAAGACGCTTAGTTATTGGTTGGACTCAGATTAGAGTACGTTTTCATGCACTTTTATTTTTCTTCTGATTGGTAGACCTGAGCATACGAGCGTGCGAAGTGGATCGCTGTCTCTTAGTTTTTTGGTTAAAAGTCGCAAGTAAGCCCGCTCACGCAGTTCACGTAGAATTCTTCAGTTATTCACGAGTGTATCTTATTGTTTATACTAAAATATATATGTATATGCTTTTCCAACAAACAAAGCCTATCGAGTTCTTTTCCATCAAAAGATTTAAAGGGAAAAATGTAAACAGCATCCGCAGTAGAGCCACAGCGATGACTGCTGGCGATGGGCCAACAGTCATTACGAGGTACGAGTTGACTCGGCCAAGCCTGGAGACGAAAAAGGGCTCGGTAAATTTAGAAAGAGGCAATGTTCTCTCGAAACGACGAGAGAAGGGACCTTGAAACGCAGCACCAAGGTTCACCGAGATTGCGCGGAATTAATCTTCAACTGGAAAAATATGTACGTGGGCGGCCCACATTGCGTAGTAAATGCCTACAGTCGTTCGAGCGATCGCCTCTGATTGCTCGATGATCGGAGATGGTCTGACAAGTGGTTTTTTTTCCTCGCGAGACGCACAGCCACTTTGATCACGACATGTGTCACACGTCGTCGGCGCATGCATGAAAATACGCACACAACGCATTTAAAACCAAATAAATAATCCACCTTTTAACTCTGAATCCGATTTGCCTTTGCGATCTGATGCAATATAAAAGATCCGGTAAACAAGAATATATACTTTATTGTTAACTTTTAATCTATGCTTAATTATGATTCACGTTTCCAAGGAATTTCGACAGAGATGTGCCTACTTCAATTATTCTATTTCCATCTCTATATCGGTAATATATTGCGCAGCATGGCAACCAACTTTTGTTACCTTGGAAGTTTGATGAAGAAACTAAAAGTATAATATGCGTTAATTATAATTTTCCATCTAATTTTTTAAATTAATAATCAAATGTTAAAAATCAAGCTTTCTGAAATCTTGTGGTCTGCAAAACGAAGAAATAAATTAGATGAGAATGTGAATGGAAAGTGTCGCCAGTCAGGCGAATCGGTTGACTCGTGCGAGCAGTGACGGCGATCATTATTTTAGGCGTTTTTCAGCGGATCGCCATTGCAGTGATAGAAACGTGACGTGTGAATAATTCCGAATTTCCGTGTACACTTTCAGGAAATTCGTCTCAGGTGTGGGCGTCGGAGGCGCCGCGACACTTCATGTGGTTGACGCAGACGAGACGGGATAAGAAGATAGATTAAAGGCCGCGTAATCTTCGCGCGTAAACCCTTCGGATTAGAAGACACTTCGCGAAGAAGGTGACAATTGTGTTTTCCCCGAAGCACCGAGGCCAAATAAATATTGCAACATGTCGCGACTCGTTTCTGCTGAGCGTCCGTGACAAAGATGCAAAATGTGCGAAAATGCGCGTTGTGTAGGCCTCCGAGTTTCGGTTCTATTGAAAAATTACAATCGCCCGTAAAAGATTCGATTTATTCGGCACTGCAAATCCAAGTGTGTTATTTTAGCTGAAGCTCTTCTTACACATTTCTTGCCGTTTTAAATCCCGTCATTTGACACGATTGAACGTATTAAGTTTTAATTTAATACTCACAAAAAATTATGTGTTTAATTTAACACATTTCACATGTCCTAACTTATCCACTCTAATTTTTATGTTAATTTAACAGAAAGCAAATAGGCACAAGTAATATCTATGTAAAAAATTAACACAAAATTGTAACACATAGACGCTATCTGGAAGCAAAGTTTATGTTAAATTAACATATTTATAATGTTAAATTTAATTAAAATAAAATGTTGTTTTTATATTAAATGTTGTTCTTCTTTTCTCTTTTTCTTGCAAGTAGACAGCGATATCTCTAATATTGTATAACATAAGAAAATGTCGATTTAACAGATGGAAACTCTTATAAAGAGGAAAGTAACACAATTTAGGTGTGCATTTTAACACATAAAATATGTCACCAAGAATTCGTGGATTTACATGTAAATTGTGTAATTTTTACTCTTAGAAACGTTCAATATTAACTTAACGCACACTACAAATCCAAGTGTGTTATTTTTACACGCATGAACGTCCAAAAATGACATTAGACTGAAGCTCTTTTCACATGTTTCTTTATGTGTTAAATTACGTCATTAAAGTTAATACGTTCATATTAAATGACGTGATTTAAAACGACAAAAAGTGTGTGAGAAGAGCTTCGGTTAAAATAACACATCTGGATTTGCAGTGCAGAAAAGTCAAAATAACACAATGACAATATGTTATATTAACACCAGTGTATGTTGAAAATTTAACACAAAAATTTCTACATGGATAGAAATCCACTTAAATACAAAATGTTTTTTACCGTGTACGACTGACCGTGATGTTAAATGACGTTAAATTACGTACACATAAAGAAACATGTAGAAAGAGCTTCAGTCTAATGTGTCATTTTTAGACGTTTATACGTATAAAAATAACACACTTGGATTTGCAGTGATCCAGTATAACGGATTTAACGCGATTAATAAATTCGATAATAGAAAAAGCATGTAAAAGTGCAATTCTCGATTTAGATTCAAATTCACGCTTCGGTAAAAACTCCTTTTCTCTCACTGATCTTTTTCTTTCGTAAAAAGACCCGTCATCCGGGGGACTTGAGGTTTACCCAGATGGATTTTTAAATTCATTTCGACACGTTCCGCGCACGTGTCAATTAGCAGTAAAATACGCAGAATATATCGCGCGAGAATTCAACTCCTGCGGAAATACAAGTGACGGAAATACAAGTGACGCGTCTTCCTATTTTTCAAAGAATCGCGACAATGTCCCGCAGCGTCGCGGTCGGGAAGCACGCGCAAATATTTGATAGTCAAAGAGAAAAAGACAAGAAAAGTTTGTGTCTGGAGATAATCACCTGCGACGACGTAGTGGTGACCTGCGGATGATGGGTGACGTGATGCGTCCTGCCGGTCACCAGGTTGTTCTTCTTCTGGAAATTCTCCATGACGGTCTGCATGTCCCCGTTTTCGCCTCCCTCCGCCGGGAACTCCGACATCTGCAACATAATATTATCGTCAAAATAGATCATACAAAACCAAAATACTCTCTAAGTCTCTAGACCGGATTCGGCACTTATATATTAGATTATTAGAACATGCAAAAAACGGTTTTGCTGAAGTATCTAAAAATTTAGCTATAGATACAGATCTGAAGATAATTTTGCACCGTCAAAATAATTATGCCAGGTCGCTGAAGTACGATGATATAATGCTGTAAAAATTTTTGACATTTTAGCAATCAGTTTGAGTGTTCTACATAATTATTTTGATGGTGCAACAAAATTATTTTCAGATCTGTATCTAGCTAAATTTTTAGATATTTCAGCAAAACCGTTCTTTTCGTGAATAATTACGATAGTCACTCCAAAAGAGAGAGTTGTCACTCTAATTTAAATAAATGCGAGCATTCATAGGTATAAAAAGTGAATTTTTCACTCAAATTTTCAAAGCGGCTACTCTATTACCGAAGTGATACGATCTCACTCTAAAGCAGTTAGTCACTGAAGATCGACTGATAAAATGACAGAGTAAAATTTTCCACTTAAAATTGTAAAGTGATAGGAATATTAATTCACTCCTATGGGCACTGATCTACTGCACTCGAAAAAAGTGCCTTTTCACTCAAATGGAGTGATGCGATCTCGCTCCAACTCATAGAGTGCAATTTTATTCTTTTTTAGAATAATAAATCACTCCAAGTGCACAGGCTCAATTTTTGCTTTTCGTTACACTTACATTTCACTCGTTTTAAGTTATATTTCACTCTTCGACTCTTTTTTAGAGAGTATACAAACATTTATTTTACTTGTAACGGAGATGTATTAACGATCGCGCGCACAAATGTGTTTTAATTGCTCGTTAATTAAGTCGGCGCCGGAATTCGCCGACTGCGAGGGCCTAATAATAGGCCCTGGGAAATAATTGGCAGCTCGAGCTTGGCAAGACCAGAGAGACTAGCGAGAGCGCAGCAAGTTCGCGTCGGACCAGGTCGCACGGGAGTATACGCGCTAAGTGTGCGTAAACGGGCGAAATATGTAAAACGAGCCCACGCGTACGTTAATAAAAAGCTCGATCGAGAAATGCACGATTGAACCCGGATCTCTCGGAGTAAAACGCTCCGATTCCTAAAGGTGATCAAGCTTTCTAGTCTCGGCGTGGCGCGCCGATTCCCCGTTTATTACGTTACGGCAGAATACTTATAAGCTCGTATGGCGGAAATACCATCGGGAATGATCGAGGCCGCTCGAAGTCGATATAAACGTTCGATAAAACTCGTCCGACAGTTGCACTTCACCATTATTCAGCCTGCATACGATTATTACGTAACTCGAAACGGCTTCAGCTGAAAAAGCTAACGAGAGGATTTCGCAGCGAGTGTGACGTTTAAAAATGATCCTTTTTGTTCTCCTCTTTGTGGTCAGCATCGAATATTTATGCTTTTGCGTAACTTTTAATTTATTACACATTGTATAAATTGTAGACGATCAACGAGAAAACAAGATATTTAACGTCACAGAAATACATTTTAACTTCAAAATTGACCGGTATTTACATTTGATAATTTCTATGAAAAAGTTACACGCTGTTATTACCGTTATTATCTAACCGTTATTACGATATCGTTTATATGCAGTTACACAATACACAGATAATTTTATGATATAAAACAATGCAGTCAGCAAGATCGCAGTCGCGTAACTTTCATATTTCTAGGAAGGAGCGATATACAACGATTAGAAGGAAATGAATATAATATTATATAATTCAAAAACTGTCATTTCTAAATTGCTTTTCAAAAGACTTGATGAAAATTCCGTTTTGTCACAAAATAAAGAACCGAGTAAAGAACTAATATACAACTAGATATATATTCCTAGATTGCTAGATATATTCCTAGATTCCTAGATTTTGCTTAATTAGTTATTATATCAAAATCGCTTTTAAAAATAATATTACAACATTTCAACAACTCGAAACGTTCAAACTTATTTTCTAGAAAACTTTATCCCTTTGAGTTAATTTAAATTCCACTTGTTTTAATTACTGCCTAGACTATTTTAATTACTTCCGATTGGCTTTACGTTTTGTGCAACATTAAATGTATTTAATGCATTGCGCAATGATCGCCCTTTGAATTCGGTTACACCTGCGGGATGTGCGCCAAAATGCATCGGCCTAGCGTGCAAGTTGTCGCGCCCCAGGAGCTCGTCTCGCGGCACGAATGCAACTATACAATCGGCACAAGTGCAACTATCACGAGACGTGCGTGGATGGGCGATGCGTTGGCATTCCGTCCATTCTTTCGATAATTCCGCGGGATTTGCATAGGCGTGGGCACGTAGAACTCGGGCGCGTGCAATAATACGCGAGACGCAATATCCGGCATCTTTCGAGAAATTAATAGAGTCGGTTTAATCCTTTCGGCACATCTCTTCGTGTAATAAAATAACTTTCTTCATGCAATAAAAACTATCGCACAGAAAAAGCCTTTTCAGCCTTACTCTTTTCTAAAAAAAGAATTCGGAAAAAATATTAAGTATATCTATACGCCTTCCGAAATGGTATTACGCTAACTTATCTTGCCACGTATATTTCAGGTTTATAAATAATGAAAAGGTTACTAAACTCTCGGTATTTATTAGATACGCGGGGCGGTCTGAAATCAAATGCTCGGAGAACCAGAGTGTCCCAAAAGCAGGTGGCACGTCCTTAAGTCAAGAACCATATAATTCTTTCCAATCAAATGGGTCAGAACCGGTTCTGGAGACTCTCGAGTACTGTCGGAATATTAGAGATCGAATCTCAAAAGATATCTAGCATTTTCCTCTTTCCTAGGGCACATATTTAACAAGTTAAGACTAACGAGAAAGAATTACAATTTGATGAAGATATTATTACAGAAATAAATCGAAAATTCGAAAGTTTAACGAAGTTTTAGATCGGTTAAACGATCTCAGACAACACGCATGTCTCAAATCGGGAGATACGACGCCGCGACGTCTTAATAGTCTTAAAGACATCCTTGAGGGAAGATTTACTTCCTGAACGCGATCGTACGGAAGCCGGAAGTTACGCATTCGCTTCAGGGAGTATTCATCAGCCTCGTATCTCCGTGCGCACGAACGGCACGACTGACGTGCCGTCCCCCAAAGACAAAGACAGCCGGCACGACGTAACTGTCGGAGCGAAGGAGAAGAAGCGGAGACGGCTGCTATCGCTTCTGCTGTCTCCGATAACGCGATACGCGGCGACCTGGTGTCATTTCAGGATCGGTATTAGAGAAAGGAGGCCTCTATCTAGAAACCCCCCGGTAGACTTTTCCGAAACGTTCGCGCCGCGATTCGAACTCGGGAGTATCGGAGAACTCGCGATTTTTTTTTCTTCAGCGGGACCGTTCTCCGATCCTTCCGCGAGTAGGACACTCGGAAAAAGACAAGGAAAGAGAGAGAGAGAGAGAGAGAGAGAGAGAGAGAGAGAGAGAGAGAGA